TTAGGGAAGCGCCTAGGCCCGTTCACATCACGTCCACGGTTTTTCTTTCTCTCTAATACAGGTCTCGCATTTGCAGAAAGGTGCCGACATGGAACAGACGACCCACGCTTTATTCGTTACAAGGAACGAAGTGAGAAGACGGCAATCAATTTTAGAATTCCTGACTCAGAGATTTATGAGTACAACCAACCGTTCACTGTCATGGAGCTCTGCACTGCTCTTAAGAGAGCTAAGAGTGTGTCGCCTGGATTGGATAAAGTCCACAATGATATGTTGAATCGCCTAAAGAAGGAGTCCCTCCATGCCTTACTCTCACTTTTCAATTACATATGGTTGCAAGATGACTTCCCGGAGTCGTGGCGGGATGCCATTATAGTCCCGATACGGAAGCCTGGAAAGATGGGTTCCGATCCACTGCACTACCGCCCAATTTCGCTGACTTCATCCCTATGCAAAGTGCTAAGGAGGATGGTGAATGATCGTCTCGTGTGGTACCTTGAAACCCACGGCTGTCTTTCCAAAGTGCAATGCGGGTTTCGGAAGAACCGATGCACTGTTGACCACTTAACGATCTTAGACACAGCTATACGGCATTCTTTTAAACAAAGACGCCACACGATAGCAGTCTTCTTTGACATTGAGCGGGCTTATGATACCACCTGGCGCTATGGCATTCTTAGCAAAGTACACAAGTGTGGACTCTGAGGTCACATGGCAATCTTCATTGAAAACTTTTTACGTCGTCGATTCTTCCGCGTCCGAGTGGGTGGCATGCTATCTGATCGCTATGAACAAGAGAACGGTGTTCCTCAAGGGAGCGTCCTTAGCGTAACCCTGTTTGCGCTGATGATCGATGATATCGCCGACTGTCTGCCACCTACCATCAGTCGGTCACTGTTTGTGGACGACTTTGCCATCTGGTGTGCGGCATCCACAACAACGTCTGCTGAGAGGCAGCTTCAGTTATGCCTGATTCGACCAACTGAGTGGAGCCTTAAGAATGGCTTCAAATTTTCGACCACCAAGACTAAGTGCATGCACTTCTGCTCACGGATTAGAGGCTGTAGAGACCCGGAGTTGCGACTGTATAATGCCACTGTCCCAGTTTGTAACGACATTTGTTTCCTGGGCCTCACGTTTGACCGTCGGCTCACGTTTAAGCAACACTTTAAGATGATTAAGACTAAGTGTCTCAAGCGCATAAACCTCATGAAAGTAATGTGTCGTATGACCTTTGGAGCCGACAGAAGCACCCTGTTGAACCTGTATAGGGCCCTAATTCGATCAGTCATCGATTATGCTAGTCCTGTCTACGATAGTGCTCCTACATCTTCAAAGCAGGTTTTGGACACAATCCACCATACATGTGTTCGTATAGCCACTGGGGCGTTTCGTACGACCCGAACAAGAAACTTGCTGGTGGAAGCGAATGAACCGCCCTTGCCTCTTAGGAGACAACGACTTACTTTGAATTACGCTATAAAGGTTTCACAATTTCCGGATCACCTAGCCTTTAAGTTCATCTTCTCTCAGATGTTAATCCGTTCTTTCTTGAGGGGGCGGCCCACGTCATCGCGGCCGATGTGCCTGCGCGTCCGGGACTGGCTAGACGAGTCGCTTATTACGCTGGATGACATTTCCCCGCACACTCCGCGGGACCCAGCTCCGTGGAGACGTCTGAGTATTAAGTATGATTTGGAACTCTGTCAGCATCTTAAAAATGGCACTTCACCACGAGAGTTCCTCGCGCATTTGTTGGAACAGATCTCACAATACGCGAACTCATTACAAATATTTACCGATGGGTCCAAGGGCTCAACAGGAACGGGTTGCGCATTTGTTTGCGGTGACCATACCGTAGGTCTATGCCTCCCGCAGCACCTGTCAGTTTTTTCCTCAGAACTGTTTGCTATTTTAGCAGCGCTTCAGTACGTTGCTTGTCGTCCTGAAAGGGATGTAGTCATTTTGACCGACTCACGTAGTGCACTTTTATCATTAGACCCGGCGGCGTTGTTACGTGACCACTCATTTTTGACGCGCTCAATTTGGGAGGAACTGGAATGGCTGGACAACACTTCCTGCCTTATCACATTTATGTGGATCCCCAGCCACATAGGAATAATGGGAAATGAAAAAGCCGACGCCGCAGCGAAAGCTGCGGCGTGTGAGAGAAACCCAATACCAATTTATGTACCCGCTTGAGATCTGAAGACAGTCATTTCCAAAGACGTCCGCAATACGTGGCAGCACATGTTCGACCAACATGTTCACGCTTTCAGGGAAATCAAGCCCCAACTGGGTGATTGGGAATCCTCCCATCGCCGAAGCCGCTTCCAGGAAGTCGCCCTTTGTAGGCTTCGGTTGGGTCATACATATACAACACACTCGTTTTACTTCACGCGTAGGGATGTGCCACGGTGTGATAGATGCGGGGACCGGTTGTCTGTTGAACATGTGCTCGTCTCATGCCGGCGCCTTGAGACGGAGAGGCGACGATTTTTTCCTCCTGCGCCCCTTCATCGGTTACTCGGTCGAGACCCATGTGGTGGTCTTGGAGATATACTCGCATTTTTAGCACACATTGACTTTGACGTTATTTTCACTCACCCCTCAGTGTAAGTGCGCCAGTGATACTACCTGTTATTAGCTGACAACATGCTCATCGCGTCGTCGCAGAGGTAGATAACCGTCATCGAGTGGGCGCAAAATGGCCCTGATGCCGACGCGCCCTTAAAAACCAAATCACCACACCACCATCTCTAGCACACAACTAAAGCTTGCAAGAAGTGTGCTGCTGGTTGAAATTAGTGTGCTCATGCTGAAATTATGTAGCATTTAAAGCTACGAAAGTAAAGCAAGCCACTTAAGCAGCATTGCAAACGCCAAATGAAGCAATGCATTATTGACGATGGGCATTCATTGCGTAAATGATTTTGGAAAACGGGATGTGATTGTTTAATCGTCCTGGACCAGAAAACGAGATGTGATTGTTTAATCGTCCTGAACCAGACAAAATGCCGTAGAGATTTTGTTATTAAAGGCCAGGGGCCACTTCGGTAGTCGATCACAAAAGCCTTCCGGATGAACTCGCGAGACAAATGAACACCATCGCTGAGCGGTGAGAAGTGCGCCGGGGCCACCAATAGCGCGTAGTAATTCATTTTTTATGAGATTCTGATGTGGAAACCAACTCTACTTTTTTATTAGTTGTTTTATTTTTACTTCAGTTCTATTTTTAGTAATGAGAGCAGCGGACACAAACACTCGGGCCGTTAGCCAATTGCCGTCCGCGAGGCTCGTACCAATTTGAAGGGCTAAACGAATTTGCCGCAGCGATCCTTTGGGCTTTGTCGCTGCTCGCATAGACGGGGCTTATATCAGGTACCGAGTGATTTCTTTGGGCGCAAGTACTACAGTCGGTTTCGACGATCTGGTTGGCGTGTTTTTGGCAAATCCAGTTATTACAGGCTCACATATGCTGTTGGCTGGTACCAAGTGGTGTGTTGCAGTGTCCCTATTCAGCATACTGTGCCCATGCGGGGCATAAACCAAAATAAACGTTTTTGGACAAAATGTTATTGTGCTATATTCAAATGCACCTAACACCTGATTGCACAATGCGATGCTTAAAGCTGTCTTAAATGAAAACAGCGCATAAGGGATAATTGGAAAATTGGATGATTGCCGTATAGCACGAAGTGAAAACATCTAACCTGGATCGGTGCATGCTACATGCCAATGTACGCTCCCTCCCCTCCCCACGTACTTCATGCAGGTCCATATGCCTGGTTGTACCGCTAAAGCCTGACCAAAAAAGTTGTCGCAAGCTCTTCTTCTCTGCTATGTTTGCACATGTACGGATTAGTTTTTGCAGCGACCGCTAGCAGGAGTTATGCGCAGCTCTCATGGCGAAACGGCTGCAGAAGCCCGGCTTAGTGTTGCAGCAAGCGAATTTTATCCATGACGTGGCCTTTGGGTGGCTGTCTACATGAGAATGTCTATAAAATGCAGATAATCCGGGAAGCAACGGTTAATACGAGGGAAACTGGCGCGCCGGAAAGGTAGCTTGTCTGTGCCGATCGACGGTCGCCGACCAATGGGACGCGCCCCTCACGAGGATGGTGTGCCGCCATAGCCGGAGCGGTCTTCGGGTGGGGCAAGACCACTCAAAAGTGCAGTAAGGAGGCTAAGTAGTGAGTGCCATGGGCTTTCGTACTGGTCACAGCTCCTGAAAACTCTGAGGCATCGGGCCCAGGCTTTGCGACTGCGGCAGACACGTCGCTGGCTTCGCTTCGAGATGCTCCAGGCGCTCCGTGGTCCTGTGCCACCTGTCTGGGCGTCCTGGCGAAGTTCCTAGCCTCAGGTATCCAGTCGACCAGTCCCGTCCGCGGCGACCCACCGCAAGCGGGTGCCTCCCGCCGCGCCGACCCCACCTGACCCCTCTGAGGGACCCACCGCAAGGGGTGCCGGCCGCCGTGCCGACCACACCCGACTCCTCTGCGGGACCCCCGGGCTGGCGCTGGCGCCTGTCCCTCCGCAGGAGATATCGGCGAAACAATCGGTGCGCCCCGGCCGCCGCCGGGATTGACCTGGCCGGCCGGGGGACGGCGGCGCGCCGGGGAGGGGCGCCCGCGCCGGCTGCGTACCTGGCCGCTGCCAGCCGCCCGCTCATTGGCCGGCCGGCTCTGACGTCAGCGGCAAGAGTTGATCGATTCGGCGGCGGCGCGGTGGGTAGTTGAGCGGGAGGCCGTACTGCCGCCTAGTCGCCCTCTAGTCGCCGCCAGCGCCCGCGCCTATTTTTGATCAGCTATTTTCAGATTGTTGTATTTAAGTGATATTTTTGTTTGGACGGGACGGACGGCGCGCGGCAGGCGGGAAGCGGAAGGGCTCGCGCTGTGCGCCAGCTGACCGGTGGCCGGCCGCGTCGCGTACGCGTGCAGGCGGCGTAGTGACCGCCGCCGGCGAGGTGTTGTGTCGCCCGCAGCCGGCGCTCGGGCTCGGCGCCGCCGCTGCCCCCGTCTGGAGTCGCCGCCGGCAGCAGCCGTCCGCACCGGTACGTAGTGCTCGCCGTCAGCGCCGCTGGTCCCTGCTGGACTCGGCCGAGCACGCGCCGCGGCCCGCCGTGGCGCCGTCGCCCCGGACAGTGCCCCCTCCCCTCTCCCTCCCCGCGGCAGGACGGCGTGGCCGGGGAGCAGGGTCAGCCCGACTGGCCTGTTTGTCCGGCGCCGGCCGGCCGGCCGCGCTGGGCGCATCTGCCTCCAGGGCGCGGCATTCCTGCGCCGTCTTCGGTCCACTGGCCGCCCGAGTGTGTAGCCCGGCGCCGGGCCGGGCCCCCGATCCGATCTCGCCGCGAAACCGGGGCCCCTCTGTCGGCCGCTGTGTGGGCGGTGCCGTGACGCGGTGCCCTCACATCGGAGGGCCCCAGCGAGGCTCGGGGCAGCGCAGCCGCCGTCCGCCCCGACACTGCGAGACGTTCGCTGCCACACAGCGTGCGCCGCGGCCCGAGGCTGGCCCGTCCTGGCCTGTGCAATGCCCCTGACTCGACGCCTCACTCGACGCCTCACTCGACGCCTCACTCGACTCCTGACTCGGAACTCGCGGGTCGCCCCCCCCCCCCTCCCCCGCTGCCTGGCTCGCTGTGCGTTAGCTCCCCGTCCCCGTTCCCTGTGGGTCATCCCATCTGCCCATCCATACTGTCTGTGCTCTTGCTACGGTGTTCATATGCGGCTGGGGATCAGTTCTGATGGGCGGACTGATTCTCTGAGCTGGATCGGTGGGCTGTGGTGCGCTATCCACCTCAGTCCCCGTGCTCCAACTTCGAGCGCTATTAGCTGGGTTGCAAACGGGGCCTGCATGAGCAGCGACCCTAACATCGAGCTGGTCCACGTCAGGCACCTGTTTGGGGAGGGTTCTTCCACGGAAGGTCCTCAATATTCCCAGAGCGTCTGCGTACCTTTTTTGTGACATTTCGATGTTACGTACTGGTATGCTGTACTGAGCAATACGAAATCAGGCGCTTGTCTTTCTCGCTCTGTCACGTTTCCCCCAAGGCCCGGCGCAATACGTTCGCAATGAGGACCACTAGCCCGCCCGCTTCCCCTCCGTGCACGTTTTTGTTGCAAACTCCCGTCGACATCCTGCACTCGCCAGGATGTAATGTGGAGCGTCACGGCGTGGCGAATTGGGTGGTAACTGTGCTCTTCGGGGCTTCCATGCCGATGCGTGGTCACAAGGCGGGGGGGGGGGGCCTTCTAAACGCGCTGCTTAGGGACGGATGTGCGCGCAGTGAATGAAATAGCACAACCACCCGATGGAGGTTCCTATCGCCACTTACAGCTGTTTCCAAAAAAACAGCCACACGCTTGACTTGACCCGGTTTTACCAGGAGTGCCACACTGTTTCACGGGTGTTGTTAGGCGCCTCAGAACCTTTTGAACATTTAATGCATTAGAACCCGGCTAGTGGTCCATCTTTGAGCTTCTCGTTTGTCAGGAGCCTCGTGGCTGTTTTAACCTCTGGTTTGTTTCGAAACTTTTACCCATTTTCCACAGTCCCTTGGCAATTCGCGGCTGCGTAGCTCCTCCAGTGGGCCAGTACTACTACTGTAGCTTCTACTACAGTGCACATTCTGAAGAAACAGAAAATTCGGATCGAAAAAACTTGAGCCCCATTCAATCCCCAACAGCTGTAATGCCCTCGCTTGTGTACCTTACCTTCGGCGGCAACGCTATGGCGAGAACTGCCGTAGTAGACATATACCGCCTTTCACTGTCCTCCCATGCAGTGCACGTAGTGGCGAAAGCTGTGCAGCTTGCTGCTGCGTAAAGGGTTCAACCCATGATAAGTTTGTTTAGTTATGCTGACAGTTGGCCTTCAATACACCGAGAGGAACTAGATAAACGACCAGGGGTGCAGCCAGCCAGGATTTTCTTAATAAAGGAGTTCGGATTTCGGTGAGGACGCATCACGCTGATTTCAACTTTTGTCAGAAGCCGCCTATGATAAAAACGAAAAAATCCGGGCACAAGGAAGTGGCCGCCCCCCCCCCCTTCCCTTGACTGCGCCTTCGTAAGCGACGTTATGAGGCTAGCATTGGTTGCTTTAACCAGGATCAATGTTTGCTTGATGACGTGATTCGACAAGTGCCTGGTCATATATTGGAGTTCGATGATTGCCAGCATATGAGTTTCAAACTCATGATGATGAAAAAGTGGGAGCTCGTGTGTGATTGGGGCTTTACGACGAATCCAGATGCCAAGGTTTTGTGACGTCACCTGCTCGTCACCTTGGCAGGAATGGCGGGACCGCAATGATTCGGGCCCAGCTGCGTATCTGTCTTATCAGACGCGCAGCTTAACACAAAAAAGAAAGCGGAACTCACTGCCTTTCCTGGTTATATCAAACCTATAAAGCTTCTTAAAACTACGCGCGCCGATTAAAATTACCTTCATGACATGGACATGGCATTCTTGAAACGAATAGATGTTAGAAACGCTGAGCTTAAGATTGATAAGGGCTAAAAGGTTTCTATTATAGTTGGACTACAGCTGAGGTCGGCCAGATCCAATTAAAAATTCATATTTGGAGTGTGGTTAGGTGGATAGCGATTCCTCATGCTCGCCTTGTTAAAAAATCTTGTGCGTCCCTAAACCGTTTTAGGAATTGCGCTTTTAAAGAACTATTAAGTGCTACCGCATTTGTGATTGTATTTTATGTCAACATGATAAAATAATTGTAACTGCACATAACTATATTTAATTTTTATCGTAGTAATGCGACCGGTATTGCGTCATGGCGAACATCGAACTGAATGTCTCGAGGCCGCAATATATTAATCTAGCCTCTACTACGACTCGACGAAATGCTTCGTTTCTGGTGGCGGGTTCAGACCTAATTGGCAATTCCCTGCGAGTTGTAATATTTTTTCTGTCACGAGGCAAGGATATCAGGCACGTTTGGCCCATCTCTCCGGTGGCGCAGGGCTATTCCGTCCGTCTGTACTATGGTCTACCACAAAAAACCTGGCATGTCAGTTATGCCACCTCCCACTTTGCTTTACTTTTGCCATGATCCGCGAAGTCTGACATATCTGCGCAGCATTGACCGAAGAGCTAGCTCGTGCATAATGCGCTCCGCGGAGTCAGACCCGTCAGCGGCGTGACGCTTCCTAGGGTGGTCTCGCGTGTGCTGTGACGTTTGCATTAGGACGCGTCGGCCTCCCGGTTCGTGCTCTGGCCGTCTCTGGGGCCGGTCGCAGCCGACAGCCGCGCCTGTCTCTCTCGCCGAGGCTCCGGGGATGCCTCACGGGACCGTACTTTGAGCAGGCCGTCTCGCAACGCCAGGTTCTGTGCCGCGTCTCCGCCCGTCCAACCTGGCAAGTGGATCTATTTCCGTTTGTAGGCGTCATCAGTCAGATGTGCTGTGGTATGTACGCGTACTAGTTTGTATCAACCACATTGTGCTTTCCGTGTATTTTTGGGCATGGAAGGCAGGCAATGTCACACCAGCGATTTTTAAACGCCCTGAAGAGGCTCAGGTACTCGTCATTACGTGTGAGCGACGCCACGTCCGTGCAGGAGGATGGCTCCCGGCTGGCGGCTATTCTCGGCTGGTCAGTGGAGGTGACATTGCTCATTCATAGCGCGGCCTGGTGGGCCCGGCGCCCGGTCCAGCCCAGTCGATAGCTCGATACTTCCCGAGAGACGGCAACGGGCGGACAGGAAAACACGGAGAACGCCTGGCCGACCGCGGCCGGACTGCCCGCCGATCGCGGCCGGACTGCCCGCCGATCGCGGCCGGACTGCCCGCCGGCGCGGTCGTCGCTGGGGACCGACGACTCGGGCGTGTGATCGTCCAGAGGACGCGGGTCATTAAGCGCCTGCCACTGGACTGGAGTTCGCGGTTGACGGCAGTGGTCTAAACCGCTCAAATCAGGTGGCTGCTGGAGTGTGAGAGAGGCACTTAATTTGTCATAAGCAGGATGCTAAATCAGGAGAGACGATCTTCGTTGAGTCTGTCGGCGCTGGCGTCGTCCAATCAGGTTGTGTCGTAGTTGGTGCCACTGTGTCTGGGGGCCGTTCGGAGAACTCCATGTGTTCCAATGTTGACGATGTCCCGGCGCGGCTGCGGCCTGTGGGTAGGATTTTTTCACCGGTGGCGGCGGCGCTCCGACGCTTGCTGTAATCCGCCGCTCTCCCCCAGCGGTCAGGCCCCCTGACCTCCCCCCCCCCTCCCCCCCCCCGACACCCCGCTCCCATCTGCACAACTGCTGGCGCATCGCCCCCGTGACCGCGTGTGCCCGCCCCCGCTATCGTCACACATGTGCACCGCGCGGCCGCGTCCTCGGCACTCCGATAGCGGCTCCCGCTGCGCGGCGGCCGCCCGGCAACACGCTCAGTGCGGCCCGGCGAGGACTGAGTGGCGGCAGCCCGGCCGCCTCCGCCCCGGCCGCGGCGCTGGCCAGGTACGCCGGCCCTGCCGCCGCCGCCGCCGCCGCCGCCGCGCAAACGGGTTCTCTCAAGGTCCCGTTGATTTTTTATGCGCTCAACATGTCGGTCCGGTCTCATGTGGCCGGCCGGGCGGCGGTCCGGGCGGGCCCGCCGGCCGACCGACCAACGTTAGCGCGCGCGCGGCCTCCTGACCTGCAGATGACGGCCCGTCGGTGACGCGCGGAACAGTGCCGTGACCGGGCCTGCACACTGCGCAACACACCGGGACGGCAGCAGGCGCCCTTGAGCGGTTTCCGGCGTGCTCTGTGATGGCTGGACTGCTCGGCCATGTTGCACAACCTGCTCGGTGCGGTTGGCAGCAGTGCGACACTGCCATGGCCCGGACTGCTCGGCCATGTTGCACAACCTGCTCGGTGCGGTTGGCAGCAGTGCGACACTGCCATGGCCCGGACAGGCCGACTGGGACCACGAACAGCTCTCAGTCGACGTGGCGTGTGCGTCTCATGCGGAGCCCGTTCAGTCCGGGTCGCACAGCCGGCCCTACACCGAGCGCCACACACCATCACTCTCCCCTGCCGATCGTATCATGCACACAACAGTGCGCACCCATTCCGCCCGCCGGTGGACATTTGCACTGTTGGCTTTGGGCTGTGGCGCCGGCCGTGCGGCCGTAACGGCGTCCGGAGGACAATGCCCGCCGGCTAACGAGCTCCAGGACCGACGGGGACCCGGCCGCGGCGCCGTCCGCAAATGACTCGCGGCCTGACGCTATTGACGGCGAATTGACGGCGATAACAGGGCGCTGAGGCGCCGGCTGGCTGACCAGTGGGCCGCCCGCCGGCACTTAGCGGTGTGGCGGGGCGCGTTAGCGCTACGGCCATCAATCGGCGTTGACACGGCGGCGTTGTTGACAGTGCTGTGAGGCGCACAGTGGCGCGGCCGCGCGGCCGGGTAGCGAATGACCGGCAGACAAACCCTGTTGTTATAGGAGAAACACACAATGGATGGCGATCATTGGCATGGTCGACCGCCGCTGTCGGGACCTCTGCGACTGGGGCCGACTGGGGCAAGCCGGGGCCGACCGAACGGCGCGGGGCCCGGTGCGGCTCGTCCGGGTCCCGGTTCCGAACGACACCGGCTCAGGCTAGATCAGCCCTCTGGCGTCGATCCTGCGCCCTCGAGGCGGGCTTGGAGGACCGGGGACAGGCAGGTCAGGTGCAATTCGATCCTCTTGTCCTCTATCCTGTTTCATCCTGCATCCTTGTGACTCCCCGTTGGTTAGAGACAGGCTGCATGCGTCAGCCACGATTGGGTCGAGAGCCCCGTGGGAAGGAGGACCCGACCGGGCACCCGGGTTAATATTGCGCGGGTTAAAGCTCGGTGGTTGCACCCAGGTGCATGCAACTCTGCCTGACCGTTAACCATTTCCTTCATCCCACAGCCCTAAAATGATCATTTCTGGTTGAAAGGGCTCTGATCCAAAAAGCAAACGAGGAAAGGGGTTGGGACGGCCTGGGGATGCCCCGATGGCCGGGGATGGCCAGCGCGGACGTCAGGGTCTGTATCCCGGTGCGGGTGACGCGGCCGATCCCGTCGGCGTACTGCTGTTATCCGTACGGCGTGACGCCGCGCGGCGTCCGGGCCGGCCGGCTGAGCGGCGGCAGTGTGCCGCCCGCCGCGCCGCCGTCAGCAGGGCGACCGTGACCACCGCAGCGGCGCCTGCAGTGCTCCGTGGTGGTGAGGCTGTCGGGCTGGGAGCGGGGTCGCCGCCGGGTCAGTGGTCGGCAGGCGAGGCGGGCCGGGTGTCGGAGCTTCCGGCTCCTCCCTCCCCCGGGCTCCGCGGGCGGTGCTCGCACCGGCTTAGCCGTTCGTCGCTCGCTGCCGACTCCGAGTTTGAGGGAGTTGGTGGCTGTGGAGGCTACTTGGTCCCGGTGGGGACCGCCGATACCGGTGAGTGCGCCCTTGGCTCGACAAAGCTTTTTAACGTCGAGATGCTTCTTCAGTGTTATTTGAAAGGAATCGTTTGAAGCACACCTATCATACTTTGATATCGCCCATGATCTAGGCCTACGTGATGACCTAACTGAGTGCGAGCCTCTGCGGCTGTCGGGAAGTGCGCGGTCAGGACGTGTTCAGTTCAGCGAGCGACCTGCTTGGTTCCAGCCGGGTTCCAAGAGACGCGCCGCTGGTGGGGGGCAGCCGTGCGTGCGGCGCTCTGGTGCCGACGCCGCACGCCACCGGATCCGGCGCGACCGCAGGGTGCGGTAAAGCTGGGCGGCTGCGGGTGATGCGGGCCAGCGCACCGGTGCTGGTGCTGGTGCTGGTAATGGTGGTTGTGGGAAGTGCACTCGTCTTCTCGGGAGGTGCGCCTGTCCAGATTGGCTGGCGGGCTGGCGAGCTGGCGTCTGTCCAGACTGGCTGGCTGGTTGGTGGCTGTCCTGGCTGGGTGGAGAGCTGACGTCCGTCCAGTCTGGCTGATGGCCTGGCGGGCTGGCGTCCGTCCAGACTGTCGGTCTGGTCAATGTCCAGATTGTCTGAGCTGGTAGATGTCCAGATTGCTGATTTGACACCTGTTTAGGCTGTCGGTCTGGCACCTGTCCAGACTGCCTGGTCGGCACCTGTTCAGAATGTTAGTTTGGCACCTGCTTAGACTCTCAGGCCGGCACCTGTCTGTCGGTCTGGCATCTGTTCAGACTGTCGGGTGGGCGCCTGTTCAGACTGTCAGGTGGGCATCTGTTCAGAATGTCGGTTGGCACCTTTTTTGCACGTGTTCAGATTGTCGGTCCGGCACCTGTGCCGACTGTCGGGCCGGCAGCTGTTGGAGATGACACCTGGCCGGACAATTGGACTAGATACGTGCAAAATATTAAGCCTGGCACCTGTTCAGAATGATTAAGCCCAGCACCTGTCCGGTGACCATACGCGCTGATATATTGGCTGTCTTATGGCTGTCCGGTGATATTGTCTGTACCCAGAAGCTGATGCCGAACTCCAGCTGCGCATGGCCTATTGTCGACTTATTTATTCAGCGATCACCGGCAGAGCGATATATGAATGATGATGACCCCGCAACAGGCGAAGTCGCCTGGCCAAACGCAATGCATCGAAGTCAGGAATCTGACGTAAATCAAAACAAACTCGAGACCCATCGTCACTGGTGACTGGCGAGTACCCAGAGATGAGAAAGGCGCCCTCCCCGTCCCCACCCAGGGCGAGGGCGAGACCTGCGCGCTTCTCCCCCACCCCAGAACGCCCGAACACAGTCATTCTGGATGCATGTAGCAACCTCCACGGAGCTCTTCGCACCGCTGGATTTGAACGAAAGTGCGGCGTGATGCTTGTGAAATGCTAACAATTCTTCGCAAAGAGCGTTTAGCTTCCTTCCAAAAATGACGTATGTCTCTGAACGTTTCAGATTTGTTTCCGGTGATCTTCTACGAAGCCAGCCAACTCCAGAGGAGTTCATCATGGGTCGCAAGAAAATTCAAATATCTCGTATCACCGACGAGCGCAACAGACAGGTCAGTGTATCAGCCGTCGTCCTTTCCATAGCCCGAGTAGATTGCCAAGTGAAGACGGCCATAATTCAGTCACCGATAGTTGTTATTTCATCGTGTCAAACCGCTGGCCGATGACTCCGGGCGCCTAAACCGCCGCCGCACGTGACGTCGTCGGCTCGTCCGGCTGAGTCACGCCCGGCTGACCTATGGCAGACGAGATGCGGCGCAGTGGTGCCGCCGGGTCGGAGGCGTGACCTATGACGTCACGGCCGGCCTGTGGTGGGGCTGGCGCCGGGCTCCGGGCCGGCGCCTCTCCCAGACGCGGTGCTGGGAGTGGACTGGTCCCGAGGGGAGGGGATTACCCCCAGTCGGTGGAAACCAGATACTGTTACCTGAAGACGGCGACGCAGCATGTCGCGAGCTGGCCGTCCGCGGCTCCCGCTGCACGTGTGGTGGCCGGTGGTGGTCACCGCCGCACGTGAGTTGACCGCCGGCGGTCGCCGCCGCACGTGAGGCGATGGGTGGTGGCCTACCGCTGCACATGAGGTGACCGGAGGTGGTCACCGCCGCACGTGAGGTTACCATCAACGTCTTCCACCGCACGTGAGGCGACGGTTGGCGGCCACCGCTGCACGTGAGGCGACGGGTGGCAGTCACCGTCGCACTTGAGGTGACCGCTGGTGATCACCGCCGCACGTGAGGTGACCGGTGGTGGTCGCCGCCGCACGGGAGGTGACCGGTGGCGGTCTCCGCCGCACGTGAGGTGACCGGTGGTGACCACCGCCGCACATGAGGTGATCTCCGGTGGTCACCACCGCGTGTGAGGTGACCGGTGGTGGTTACGGCCGCACGTGAGGTGACCGGTGGCGGTCACCGCTGAACGTAAGGTGACCCGTGGCGGTCACCGCCACACTGCGGTGGCCGCCGGTGGTCACCGCCGCACGTGACGTGACTGGCGGCGGTCACCGCTGCACGTGAGGTGCCCGTTGGTGGTCACCGACGCTTAGAATCGTGCCCGTTAGTCGGATGGGGCTAACTAACCCCAGCACAGACGTGCTGGCCGGCTGGGTGACTGCGACGGAGTTGCGGTCGGGCGCCGCGCCGCGCCCCCCCCCCCCTGACGGTGGGGGTCGGGAGGTCGGCTGTCGGGCTGCCCCCCCCCCCCGACCGTTAGGGTCGGGAGGTCGGCTGCCAAGCCGCCTCCCGTCCCCCCCCCCACCCCTCCCCCCTCCCCCCGACGGTTTGGGTCAGGTCGGCTGCCGGGCCATGTTGTGAAGCCGCACACGAAGGCTGTTTTACCGTGCGCATGATTTGTTTTATGTTAGACAAATAAAGTGAATACACCTATTGCACTGGATGTACGTACCTATTGCACGTACTTACTGCACATACTTAATGCATTGCGCGTTCGGGTGGACAGAAAGTACAAACAGTAAGGTGTGAAATGCTGGGAAAATGGCCCTCAAGTGCCACTAAGGTAGAAACAATTTGTGTGAATTTGCAGACCATGAAATACGGCCGCCAATGCAAGGCTACCCGCGCCCATGTACTCACGCTTTTGGAAATGTTTGTTCAGACATAAATGTAGATTTCCAAGGTTTTCAGGGAGGGTATGTCTCAAAGAGGGTATCTCTTCTGTATTCTTGCGCGAAGACACTCCAAACATTTTCCGATACGCAGGTGCCGCAGTGTTGCCGGAGCTGATGTTACCCCGCATTCTGGCGACGTGTAAAATGTTCTGGTAGGTATTTGGACACAGGGGCGGGGGGGGGGCGTGTGTAGCGGGCCGCAGTGAGGGGAGCCCAGTCGGCAGGGTTCAGCGCGGCACCGGGCCGTGGCAGTGGGCAGAAGTCGCGTCCCCGTCAGCTGGTGTACGGGGCCGTGTTGTGCGGCTTCCCCTGCAGACGGCCGCGGCAGTGGGCCTGCCGCTGGTGCGCTTCAGCGGGCTGCAGTGTCCAAACGGAAACGACGGCATGCGCTGAAGGTCACCATGATATATCAGATGGACGTGGTTTTCCGCGCGAAAAAGTGACTCGCCGGGACTAGGGCACGCCAGGAAAATTGCACGGGCTGAACTGCTATGTGCGTTAGTTTAAACCGTGTAACGGCGAGCAACCCCCGGGGACCGTATACGCCAGGAGTAGTAATCTCGACTATTTAGACGGTTTGTATCAAGATTATTGAAGGCTCATGTGTACGGAGTTTGTTCCTTGACGTGGTTTTGCGATGACCTTTGCATGGCAAACATCTTATATCTAGTATCACCGTGATTTGCTAGCAAGCTGCATGCATGATAGGAAACAAGCTCATGTGCGGTTTGTTGCAGAACAGGATCATTATCATTGCGGTGCGGGCTATGGCGGGGACGAAACCGTTGGATCCGGCCTGATGGGATTAATTTTGATTAGGCTGCTTCATTATACACTAATGTGCATTCTTCCCTTGCACAGCATTACAAAAAGGAGCGAGCATACTGCGCTCAGCGTGTCGACATCTGTCGTCTGCTGTCAGCTTGGTCGCGTGCGACGGCATCAGATTTAGAGCAAGTCGGTATCTGCGATCACATGCTCAAACAGCTTTCGTCGTTCTTTATCAAGTGTGTTCCAAAAAAAAACGGCAGGCAGCACAGGCACACACGTAACCACGCCACCATCACCTGTCGCCACCGCTGTCGACTGGCGGGGGTCCTCCAGCGCCGCAGCACGCGCGCCCTGACCCCGGTGCAGGTCACGCTTTGTCAGCAGGGGGTACATGAGGGTGTCGGCCGGCGGCTCGGCGTCCCCGCCGACTGTGAGACGCCATGGGCGGCAGGTTGATGAAGCGCCGGCGCTCACACGAAAGCCAAGTTAACGAAGTCGGCTTTCGCTGGTCTGCGGACGTAAGAAAATAACCGTGTCGACTTATTTTTGATAAGGAAAATCTGGAAGGCACGCTCGGAGTGGCATCCTGTGAGCGGATTCAGTACCTGTTGTCTGGAGTGAGAGCATCTCCCGGAAGGTGGCGATGCGGTCGGCCAGTCCGCGCGGCCCGGATCGTGACTCCTCATCCACCGGCCACTGCCCCAGCGCCGTCCCACGCCAGCATGCTCAGACGGGGGGGGGGGGGGCGACACCCGACCCTGGTTCAGGTAGCCGGCCATGCGAACGGCCCCGGGCGCTGTACGCTCCCGGACGGCGGTTGCCTGGCGGCGCGGCGGGCCGATGTGGCCGGCGACGGCCCGCCTCGTCCGGCGCTGGCACCTGCCTGGCGGCGTCAGTGGCGGGGCTGCGGGACCCGCGCCGCATCTGCCGCCGCCGGCAGCCGGCTCTCGCCCCGCGCTGGACGCCGCCGACTTTACCGGGCGCCCTCGGCCGCGATCGTCCCTGTATAACCCGGCCTGCGATTTCAGGTAACGTTTAACAAGCGCAAGTTCGGCGTGATGAAGAAGGCGTACGAGCTGAGCGTGCTGTGCGACTGCGAGATCGCGCTCATCATCTTTAGCTCGTCCAATAAGCTGTATCAGTACGCCAGCACCGACATGGATAAGGTTCTGCTCAAGTACACAGAGTACAACGAGCCGCACGAATCGCTGACCAACCGAAACGTGATCGAGGTGAGCGTCCGCGCCTTGACAGCTGCGACCTCGTTGGCAGGTGACCTTCACTAAGCGCAAGTTCGGCCTGATGAAGAAAGCGTACGAGCTTAGCGTGCTGTGCGACTGTGAGATTGCCCTCATCATCTTTAACTCGTCCAATAAGCTGTTCCAATACGCCAGTACCGACATGGACAAGGTCCTCCTGAAATACACCGAGTACAACGAACCTCACGAATCGCGCACCAACAGGGACATCCAGGAGGTATGGGCCAGGCGCTCGGCAGGCACGCAGCCGGGCGGTGGCGACGCCAGCAGCGGCGGCGGTGGCGGTGGCCCTCCGGCTTGGGGTAGAGCATGCTGTCTGCAGGTGACGGAGCCGCTGTGGGAGACGATGCTTCAGGTGGCGCTGCAGACGCTGGTGCTGGTGGCGGGGCTGGTGGAGGTCCTGCCGTCTGATCGCATTGCTGGGCTGCTTGTGTCGGGGTTACGCGGCTGCGGCTCGATCTGTGGGGTTGTGCGGCGGCTGCCCGGGCGCACGCGTCTCTCGGCTCCACAGGTGACGTCACCGTGCATGCGCTGTCGACCGGTGCAGGCCGGGGAGGCGTGAGGTGGCGGTCACCGGGGTGTGCTGGTGGCGGGTGAGAGCTGCTCATAGCTGTCGTATGACCTGAGGTCAGCCGCCGGTCCGCCGTGATGAAGGCGGCCGGCGGCCTGCGACCTGAGTAACCGGAACCGGCCTCTCGTAAATCAAAACTACGAATTCACGCGGCTGATTGCACCTTAGGCGTACCCTATCCGCTAATAAATCAGCGTGTTTGCACTTGGTGAACTCTGCCATGCAACAATGCAACCATGGAATATGATTATATCGCGTGCATGCACGGAAGGAACACAGCACCATCTAAAGTCCGTGGATTCGGTATTTTGTGTTACGAAATGATGGGCTGTGGGCTGCGGAGGTGTAGGACAGCCAGGATCGATGTATAACTACGTGAACTGTTGCGTCATTCACTGTGCATCAGTCACGTCTGTCTGCCTGTCTGTTTGTCGGTGTGTGTTTGTTGTGAGCATTTGTGTCTGAGTTGCAGCAGCCGCCCCGCCCAGTTGATAACTATCATAATCCCAGTCATGGTGCTTGTACGCCTGTCCCCGTCCGTGTCTGTCTGCCTGTCTGTTTGTCTGCCATGTTTTGATTATTTGTTTGCCTTTGTCTGTACGATGCGATTTTAGCGATGTAGTTTCGAAAGCCTCAAAGCGGCACGAGTAAAAACCCAACTTATCTCGCATGACGCCTTCCCAAGCTTGACGCCGCAGATTGTTGTTGTCTCCCCTGATGTCATGGTGTCATGTTTTCGTGACTCATCTCAGCTCCACTCGCGACGTAAAGCCCGGCTTCTCCGGCGGCTGCGCACTGGACCGTGTATATGCAGGCCGGCGCTAGCACTCCGCGGCAGGCATCCTGCCGCCGTCCGCTGATGAACGGCGCTCTGCGGGCCTGTGGCCGGCGTATGGAGTACGCAGTCATCAGGCCCCTGACCGCGGGGCTGAGGCGCGCGAGATGTGCCGAGCCAGGCGGGGCGCTCGGACGGCGGAGCGGCGGCGGCCCGGTCGAGGCCGAACGGGGCCGGCGCTCTGCGGCAGACGCGTTGAGACCGCCACTCCGCCACTCTGCCACTGCGACGCGACACTCCGACACTCTTAGTATGGGCACTCCGCCGCTCCGCCACTCGTAATGTCGGCGTCCATGACTTGTTCGGGGAGCGATATCACCTGTTCATCTGTGTATGACGTTGATCTGATTCCCATGCAGGATGCAGTTTTCTAAATAGCGGTGAGGCTGCGATTCCAATGTCTTGCTCCGTCCCTGAATGTTGCAGCGAGATATTCGAGATGTGAACGTGAAGTAGGTCAGGATCGCATCACACCAACGCTGGGTTTCGGGTGCCCTTCGACGTGCAGGGCTCTTCCATCTCATCGGTTGGTCGTGCAAGACTACTCCGGCAATTCCAGGACTAACTACCGATGATTAATGAACGTAAGGCCAAAAAAAACGCCAATCGCTGGATTTCCAGGTGCATGAGCAGCGCCGGTTGTTGATATCCGAGCCAGCCGTCGCCGTGCTGTTGCCTGTGGGTGGCTTTCCAGCGCTGGCGACCGCGCTGCACGCGGCGGCGTGCGCCGATCCAATCGTGGCGGCGCGTCCGGGCGCCCCTGAACCCGAGTTATGGCCGGCCGGCTCCGAGCGCCGCTGCGGCCGCGTCTGGGGGCAGCGACGCGGCCGGCCGGCCCGCTTGTTAGTGTCGCGTGCTGAGGGCAGCCCACTGCGCAGCGAGAGGTCCAGCCGACGTCGACACGACAGCGACACACGGCAGACGTTGCCCGGGCGGACAGAGCGACGCTGTAGCGTTGGCTAAGGGTTTCATTGGTTGATTACGGTTGGATCCATTCAGCGGCGGCTGGAGAAGTCTCCCGTGGGGAAGCCAGTCACATTGTTTTGTAGGGCGTCCAGGGACTCGTTCAGGTCAGGTCCCTGCGCCGCTTCAGTGGTATTCACCTTGGCTCTTTACAGGGTCAGCAAGTAGAAAGTCCCTTTGGAGGCAGCCAGAATCCGCGTTGATGTCAATGAAACTTTATTTAACGCGGTTTCCAAATGCACGTTGTGTGTCGGGATCTGTCGGGGAACCCTGGCGCTGCCCCGCAGAGCGGCCGGCAGGGGGCGCGCAGTCAAGGCCCGCTCCAATTGATCAGCGTGACGTCACAATCGGAGGTAGGGGAGGGGGCAGCCGCCCGCGGCGGCTGGGATGACCCCGAGGCCACAGGTCGTATCGACCGGCGCCGGGCGTCCGCAGCTGATCCGGGGCGGGGGCTGCCGCCCGGCTGTCCCTGGGCTGGTGGGGAGGGGTGGGGTGAGCCACCCACCGTCGAGGGCAGAGCAGGCGCCTCCCGCCCTAAGACTTCGCTCCGAACACGACTCCGACTCGACCGTGTGTTGCCGGCTTCCCTGTCCAGGCTGGTCGTTTCCGGAGCGGCTAAGTGCACTGGCATGTTTCTGGGGGTTCGGCCGGTGCCAGCGCCGGCTGCTCACGGCTCCAGCGACCATGCTGTGGATGCGCGCGCTAAACGGTCAGAAAAAGACGCTTCCCATTAACCTCGCGGCGCCGTGATGGGAGGATCAAGTCGGGTGGTCAGTCGACTGTACCGCCTCATTCCCGGCCGAAGGTGGCTTGTTTGGGTGCTGGACGATCACGTTCGGACTGGATCTGGATGTTTGGATGCTGGATCTGCGATCCGCCGCACCTGGCGCGTGAGATTCGGTCCATTTAGCCAGTTGGGCATCTGCGCCAGACTCGGCCGGGCCTCCGTGGCATGCCGGTGCGCCCGACTGGCTTGCAGTTCAGGCCGTAGCTGTTTCCCTGATCTCAGATCAACTTGATATGTCCTGTGTGAGTCGTGTCCACAGCATTGCATGCGTGCTGCTATCTGCAAAGCATCGCCGGCTTAGTCTCCTCGCCGTAAACGTTGTCTTGGCCAATAATTCTCATAACGATGATGGCGCGCCAGTGAGCGGAGTCCATGTACGCCGGCGAGGGACCTGTTCCGCGCGTCACACGGACTGCTGCCGGCAGCTGTAGAGGCGGGCTCTCTGCTCTGGCCTCGCCTGGGACGCTCCAGCCCGTCACTGCGCCTGTGCTCCCAGGCCCAGACCCGGCCCGGCGCTGCTGATCTGTCGTCAGCCTCAGCTCCTGGCCGCCGCTGCCGGTGCCTGGCTCTGATCCCGTGTCATCCGCCAGGACACACACACGCACGCACGCACGCACGCACGCACGCACGCACGCACGCACGCATGCATGTATATATATATATATATATATATATATATATATATATATACCACTCTAGTGCAGTGTTTTCACTTTCGTATGTGTTGTGTGCGGCTGTGAATTGCGTCAGTTGGTGCGACAACAGACCTTGTCAGCGGCGGTATCGCTGTTTACACTCCTGGCTTCGGAACTGGCTGACCCCTGTTTCGCGGAGCGCCCGGACCGGAATGTCTTGCGCTCGCGCCGGCGGAAGCCCCGCACGCCCACCGGCCACGGCCAAGGACACGAACAGCCCTTCCGGCTTCGTTAGGCGAGACACGCGCAGCGCTGCCCTGTTATCTGGTTTAGCGTAAGCCGGCAGAGGGTCTTCCTTTGGCCGGGGTCACTGAGACCATCAAAGCTTCTGTCGCGAGTGGTTTGGCTCTCAAAGCTTCGTGCACGTAGGGTGGTGGTTTGCGTGAACTCTGTTGTAAGCCTGCGAAAACCAGAGTTTATTGAAAGGAGATTAAGCTTTTTGGAGGTCTTTGAAGTACCGGTGATCTCGTAGATCAAGATAAGTACAGCTGCGACTTCCAAACGTGCCGAACGGTCCCGTTCAACACAGCCGCACGCCCGGGCCTGCAGTGGCGCCATGGCCGACCAAGACGCTTCGTCTTCGCGACTTGCTCTGCACTTAATTTCCCCCTATCACCGCGTCGAACTCAGCTGAGTGTGGCGGCAGCGACGCGCTGGAGAGTAGACCGCGGCGGCTACGCTGCAGACAAAGCGTCCAGTGGCAGCATCTCACCACTGCACCATGACGTGGCGACGTTTTCTCCCGCGTGCGGTTGGCCTCTCCGGGTCGTCCCGTTCACCGCGTGCATGTCCGCTCAGCTGGAATCTCTGTGCGGCAAGCATAGCACATTTCCTCCCCCTCTCTGTGCCTGTGTCCCTCGGTTGTGTTGGGAAGCTGTTCCGTATGATGGGAGCGGTAATAGAATGGTGACACGTCCAAGCGTATCGACACGTACGAAGTGCTCTGAGGTGTCCTGTGTGCGCGGCGTTTTGATTATTGCGTGCATTCGCGCCGTCGGTTACATCGGGCGAACCAAGTCACTGGATTAGTGGGGCAATAGGGAATGTCGCCAACAGTCCAGGTGTTTACATCTTTTTCCGATATACGGCCCAAGGCCCGACCCAGCGAACCCAGCGAAGATCGGGCTACCTTCTGCGGACTCCTTGCGTGAAGAAGGCGTCATAGTCCCAGGGTTGTTATCGCAGGAGCCTCAATCGCCTATTTGTTGTCCCAGTCCCTGGTCGCAGATAGCAATCAGCCGCGGCGGCGTCTGCTTGGCACGGCCCGCGACCCACCGCACCTCCCGCCGCGCCCGCCCCGCCGGAGCCCCGCTTCGCCGTATTGTATCCAGTGAGCCCTCCCGGTCGCTGCTGTTGCCATTTTCATGGCCGCATGCCCGCCAGCTTAAATCTTTTGACCGGATGCAAGCCTGCTTTTGAGTCAGCCTTAGCTCAAGCCGGAGCACAGCTCACCGATCGGATCGGTGGAACAGGTCGCAATCGCGCCGAAATCGACGCCGGCCGACTAGGACATCTCTGAGCGGGAGCGGTCAGCGGTGCGGCGTTGTGGCCGCCGCGCCGCCTCCCTGGTCTCCATGCCGGCCGCCGACCGACCCGCGGCCCCCTGCCGCCGCCACCGGCAGCTGTGTCACGGTCGTGGCCAAAACCATGGCGGATGTTTGCGGTCGGCCACTATTTCGGCCGGCCGGTGGCGCGTTTATAGGCGGCCGCGATAGCCGGTGGCGGCGGGGACGGACCGGCCTCGCGGCCCCATCGGAACATCTGTTTGCTTTAGATGCGCTGCTATGGCGAGCGAGTCGGCCACTGCGAGCGCTCATGGACCATCGCTAGTGTCCGTCCACTGTGCTAATGGCAAAGGACAAATGTTGTTAATTGACGGCGACGGTCGAGTCGAGCGCGACCGTCGTCCACTATGCGGGCGGCGCCACCCAGCGGCCGCGCGCTCTGCAAACATCCCGGCGTTGGTGCATGCAGGCGACCAAAAGTCTGTCGTGTCTACGCAGGAGTTCGCTGTCTGTGTCCGACCTGACGTTTTTTGTCTACGTCTGTGGCGATTTCCACCGTTCATGTCTGTGCCGTCGCTGGTGACTCGTGGTTGTGCATGTCCCGTTGTATATGACCGTGCGGAGGCTCGCGTCTTCACCTGTGCGGAAGCCCACTACACCCCTCGTGACCCTCCTGTGTGTATGCCGGCGTGCCCAGCCCCCCCCCCCCTCCCACTCACTCACCCCCACCTGTGTCCACGAGCCTTCCTTTCACCGGCTTACCACTGCCGGCGGTTTCAGGCGCTGAACAAGAAGGAGCACAAGAACGGCGGTCTTAGTCCCGAGAGCCCCGAGCCGGAGGACTTCCTGGCGCCGCGCGCCGACCCCAAGTACAGCAAGATCGAGGAGGAGTACCAGGTGCTGATGCAGCGTAGCAACCAGCTCAACGGCAACAGGGTGAGTCGGGCGCCGGATCGGGACCGGAGCGTGGGAGTCAGGGGATCGGGACCGGAGCGGGAGAGTTGGAGGATCGGGACCGGAGCGGGAGAGTCGGGGGATCGGGACCGGAGCGGGAGAGTCGGGGGATCGGGACCGGAGCGGGAGAGTCGGGGGATCGGGACCGGAACGGGAGAGTCGGGGACCGGATCAGGACCGGAGCGGGAGAGTTGGGGACCGGATCAGGACCGGAGCGGAGTCGGTATCGGGCGGGAGCCGCGGCGCGGGTCCAATAGTCACGGGACTTCCTGACGGCAGGCTGCCTGACCTGCAGCTGGACAGGAGCTGTGGGCAGAGTCTGTCGCTAAGGGGCGCAGGCTGCATCATTTGACGTCTCCCACGCATGGCTGCAATTCTAGCAGCTGGCCTTGCTTTTCGTTGCAGGCGACGTCGGGAACGGCCTATTATGATTTTTTAAGTTACTGTATGCTCGCCGCCTTTGTCGAGCTATAATTTCCAAAGAAAAGATGAGCACCTGTATCGGTATGATCAAGCAGTCGTGGTTCGTGCACAGTTACACTGCTTCATGGCTAGCTAGAGAGAGGCGGATTAGCCTGGTATTTACGTCCCTCGGGAGACTGACGGCTTTTATTGCCGGATAACCAGGAGAGCGGCGAGCGCGGGCGGTCTGAGGTCCCCGGCTGGCCTTCCCAGCGGACCGCGGAGCTGTCACGCGCGGTGGGCGGGCAGGGGTGTCCCAGCGCGGAACCGGGACCGCCTCGGCGTGTCGGGACGACCCGTAAAATCGTTAGCCGGCCGCGCCCCGTGGCCTGGGCGGGGTTAGGGTCGGTCGATCCGCCACGATACGCCGGTCAGCCGGCCAGCACCCGAACTGGTCTGGTGCCCCTCCAGCTTGAGCCGTGGCGTCCGCCGTGTACCGCCGGGGGCACCTCTCACCACCTCTGGGGCGCCGGCCGGCGCGCCTCTTCTGGATGGTGTCATCCCCGCAATCGGCATGGCCTTCCGAGTACAACCGAGTGACTGGGCGTATTCGTTAGCCTGCACGACCACGAGACCAATTTTGAGGAGTGTGTGCCACCGTGAAGCCGGCTGGGCCGTCGGCCCCACGGCGCACTCTCTGCCCTTGCAGCGGTGGCGATGTTTACCCGTTCGTGCACAGACGTCGTGCATTTTCGCCGGCCGTTGGCCGATGTAGCTCACTCGCTCCCGGATCCGGCCTGTAATGGGATGCCACGCTCAACGTTCATTGCATCGTCTCCGTCCATGCGGCAGGCTCTCATCATACATTGAGTTCCGTCGCCGCTGGCCGAACCGCGCAGGCGAGCTGAGTGCTTCACCGCACGCGAATGCCGTGCAGTCTGTCACCGGGCTCGCCGCGGCCTGCCCGGAGGTGGTGTTGTCTGGTACGCGAAATCTGACCTAGGTCAAGCTGCGGCGGAACAAAGGAGCCGTGCCGCGACCCCGGCGACGGCGGCCGCTCACTGCTTTCCGGACTTGGCCTGGCCCTTCGGGTCACGTGAAGCACATCCTTGCCATAGCGCGGAGGGCGGCCGGGTTCGCTTGGTCATGCTTGCGCCAGTGCCTCCCGCTTGCCTCCCGCACAGGGTCGGGGCGGGGCGGGGCGGGGGCTCGTGCCGCTGAGTCGTGCAGGAGTCGAGCAGCGGCAGGCGCATAGTTGCGGCCGGGTGTCTGCCCAAATACCAGAGACGCGGTCAAGGTCGCGACCGGCCGGCGGTCTGATGTCATGGTGGCCGCCGACCGGCCGGACAGGGCACTGTCAGGGACGGACTGACCGGGCCGAACCGGCCGGACAGGGCACTGACAGGGACGGGGCTGACCGGGCCGACCGGCCGGACAGGGCACTGACAGGGACGGGGCTGACCGGGCCGACCGGCCGGACAGGGCACTGACAGGGACGGGGCTGGCCGGGCCAACCGGCGGACAGGGCACTGACAGGGACGGGGCTGGCCGGGCCGACCGGCCGGACAGGGCACTGACAGGGACGGGGCTGACCGGGCCGGCCGGCCGGACAGGGCACTGACAGGGACGGGGCTGGCCGGGCCGACTGGCCGGACAGGGACACTGGCAGGGACGGGGCTGGCCGGGCCGACTGGCCGGACAGGACACTGGCAGGGACGGGAAGGACGGGATGGAGCTCATAATGGATGATGGGACAAGACAGCGACTTAGGGCAAGCATCACCGGAAACTTACATGACCACTAGACATTAGTTTCAGAACCTGTAGTAGCAGGGAGGACTGAACAGGACTGCTATCCAGGGACAGTCACTCAAAGGAGATATGACTGGCCGTTCAGAAGAATACATAACATTATAAGACAGGACGACGCAGAACAGGGTGGACCAAGCAGACCAGAACCAAAACTGAGCCAGCAGTTCAGCGAAGGATATGTAGGGCAGAACATCAAGATGGAATAGTTAGCCCCCCCCCCCCCCCCCCCCCAGAAGCGGTACAACTCCGGCGGCGAGGTCCTTGGCCTAGGGCATCGACCGGCAGGGCCAGGCCAGGCCCCCGTGGTCTGGTCGTGCCGCCTGCTGGTCGCTGCTGCTGACGCAGCCAGAGGCGGGCCGTTTGACGCCTGCTGGTCGCTGCTGACGCGGCCAGCGGCGCGCCGTCTGACGCCTGCTGGTCGCTGCTGACGCGGCCAGCGGCGCGCCGTCTGACGCCTGCTGGTCGCTGCTGACGCGGCCAGCGGCGCGTCGTCTGACGCCTGCTGGTCGCTGCTGACGCAGCCAGCGGCGCGCCGTCTGACGCCTGCTGGTCTTTACTGACGCGGCCAGCGGCGTGCCGTCTGACGCCGGCGTCACTGGCCGCTCCACGCTGCCCTGCTCGGCCGGCTCGCCGTGGCTCGCCGGCCGGTGAGCCGGTCTGGCCGGTGGGTGGCGCGGCGCGGCCTGGCCGCGCGTCGGCCCTTGTACGGGCAGCCCCTCCCCTTCTCCCCGGGCTGGGCTCCACCGCTCACGGAGCCCACATGCGCGACGTCGACTCGGCGCGACAGCAAACGCCACCGGTCTGATCTCAGGTATCGGTGTGTGAAGTGTGGACGTGCCGAAGCGCTGGGTGCACCTCATTAAGAACGCCCCGGGCGAGGCGAGATTGAGCATAGTCGGCCCCTGACCGGGCGCGCGCATTGGGGCCGTGGTGCGTGAGCTGGTGCGGATGCGCATGCCACCTAGGATGCATATGGGCCGGTGGTTTCGCGTGAACAACTGCCCGGATCAACGTCTCCAAGCATGTTCTACAAGGCCAACCACACAAGTGCAAACCAAGGCGGACTGGGCCTGGTTTGGCGACGGCGTGAGTGTCGGATTACATTTTTTTGCGCCGGCCAGCTCACAGGCCTAAGGAGCGAACTTGTATCTGAGCAGGTCTGCCACAAACCCACAATGAAAGGAATTATCCCGTGGCTTCGTTGGAATTCGTCGCCTGTGCAAGACTGGGGCTCGCCGCCCGTTCCATGGCCGCGTGTTTATCATCTCTAGCCCCAATGTAAACGATGTGCGTCAGTGGCTGCCTGTTGAGCGACCAGCATGCAGCGGCGGTCTCTGGAGTATAGTGAGGGACATCTCACTGCCGGCGGACGGCTGCCAGGAGGCCACCGGGCGCCTTGCGGCGCTAGGTCAGCGCGTCAGGTGGCCTCGACCCGCCACCTCAGCCCGCGGCGTGCGGCGGCTCCTCCCGGCAGGCCGACGCTGACTTCGCTCTGTCCACTTTGCAGGTGGGCCTGTCCCTGGGCGGGTATCAGCTGGGCGGCGGAGGCGGCGGCAGCAGCGGGACAGGCGGCGGTGGCGGCGGCGGTGGCGGCGCCGGCGGCGGCAGCGTGGCCGTCAACAGCCCGTACGGCGCCGGCTCGGAGGCCGGCGGCGGCGGCGGCGGCGCCATGATGCAGCCTTCACCGCAGATGCAGCACTCGCTCAGTCCGCGCCCCGGCTCGTCTCAAGGTAGGGTCCGCCCCCCCCCCCTCCCTTCTTCTCCCCACGTCGCACGGCTGCAGTGCTGACGCGCGATGGCAGCTGCCCGTGACCGGCGTCCAGAGTTCTGTCGGCGAGGATAGGAAATCAGACGTCTGTTTCTCAGCGGTGACCAATGGCCGGACCGACCCTGGCTCCCAGTCCCCGGCAGCGCCTGTCGCGAGGGCACGTCGCTGGTACACATGACCGGCATGCAGGAGCCGGTCGGCGCCCTCGTGTGGGCGCGGCTGTGCGGTGTGGAAGTGGGGCGGGGGGGGGGGGGGGGCGGGCGGCAGTCCGCCGCGGCGCCATCTGAAGAGCGGCTCTCATGACCGCGGACGCTGCACGGCCGTCAGTCGATCTCGTCGACAAAGCTGGTTGATCTTAAAGAAACAAACGAACAAAAACAAAGCAAAAAAACGCTGCGTTATCGTCCTCGCGCGTTGATCATACTTAACCGAGGTCATGTTCGTGTTCACTGTCAAATTGTCACGACACACGTTGTTCCGTGTTGGAATCTTAGTATGCGCCACATCTGGAATCAATAGCACCACAATCAAGCAGCATTGGCGAGGTGCGTGTACCAACCGCATGTGATACCCTTCGGCTTGGGCGACCGCGGCAGCCAGCAGCATCCTCCGCGTTGGGCACAAAATGGCCATTGTGGTCGGCGTGTCCTGAAGCGCCAACAACCAACAAAGGCACCCTCCTCGCCCGCAGGCTTGCTGGACATGTCCAACGGCTACCCGAACTCGACTTCTCCACTGCCAGGATCAACGTCTCCGAGCATGTTCCACAAGGTCAACCACAGCATGAAGCCGCAGCACTCGCCGAACGGGGCTCAGGCGACGGTACGGCAGCACCGGGCTCGTGATGTGGATCCATGGATCCACATCGTGGCTCTGGATCCACAGCCCTGGATTCATGGGGGACGGGGACGAGACGACCATCCCAGCTCTCGAGCACGCAGGTTGTTGTATGGAACCGGCGAATGGCGGCATGAAAACTTTCATAAATGCTGAAAAACCGTGATTTCTGTGCTTATATCCGCCATCATATATCGCTGCCGCCTTTGTGGCGAGGCCTCGCTAAGCTTTTGGGTGCATTTAAGCGTGTATTTACAATGTGAACTAAGACTTTGAGGCACAATGGCATATAGGCGGTCATATGCTGCTGTGCATTGGTCACGTCACCTCTCCCCGCCTTGGGCATGTTGTGCGTGACTCTTGAAGGTGTCGATGTTGCACGCCTGCGTTGTGTTCAGCAACTTTCAGTCCCTTTGCGCCCATGTTTGAGCGGAGGACGCGTTGCGAGGGACCTGTTGTCAAGCCCTCGCGGCGCGTGACCAGCCGCACTCCTACTCCCAGTGCGTGCTGGCGCAGTAGAGGGTCTCTCATAGGGAGTGCGCGAACTCCTGGCGCAGTAGAGGGTCTCCTACAGAGAGCACGCGAATTTGTGGCACAGGCTGGCGCGGTAGGGGTCTCTACAGGGAACGCGGGAGCTCCCGGCGCAGGCTGGCGCAGTAGAGGGTCTCTACTGGGAACACGGGAGTTCCCAGCGCAGGCTGGCGCAGTCGGGGGTCTCTACAGGGAACACGGGAGCTCCCGGCGCAGGCTGGAGCAGCATAGCGTCTTTCACATGGAGCGCGCGAACTCGTGGCGCAGGCTGGCGCAGTAGAGGATCTCCCACGGGGCGTACGTAAACTCGTGGCGCAGGCTGGCGCAGTAGAGGGTCTCCCACGGGGCGTACGTAAACTCGTGGCGCAGGCTGGCGCAGTAGAGGGTCTCCCACGGGGCGTACGTAAACTCGTGGCGCAGGCTGGTGCAGTAGAGGGTCTCCCACGGGGCGCACGTAAACTCGTGGCGCAGGCTGGCGCAGTAGAGGGTCTCCCACGGGGCGTGCGCAAACTCGTGGCGCAGGCTGGCGCAGTAGGGGGTCTCCCACAGAGAGCACGCGAACTCGTGTCGCAGGTTGGCGCAGTAGAGGATCTCCCACGGGGCGTACGTAAACTCCTGGCGCAGGCTGGCGCAGTCGCAGTCGTGTTCCGCTCGGCCTTGGGCGTCGGCGCTGATCTCAGGACGTTGTCGTGTCGCCACCTAAGTAACGGCATGTCTGTGGCTGTTTTATGACGCTGATGACGGGAATACGGCAGCAGTCACGGCACCAGAGCAGCTGCCACGAATCACGGCACCAAGGCAGCTGCCACAAATCACGCCACCATGGCAGATGTCACGAATCATGGCAGCGGCTTCGGAATCATCGCACGATTTGCGTGGTTGTGAACAGCAGAATTTCTTCAAGTTGATTTGAGGGTGCTAAAGAGACATACTCAATTAGCCTAGTCTTCGGATTCGTTTGCGGATTGCAACATCATTTTTACGATTACGACGCAACTTTATGGGACAAGACAAGCAGTTGGCTGAGTACGGTAACGACCCCCAAGACAAAAAGTTGGGCGAGGAATGGTGCGGCCTCAAACAGTTGTATGGGGGGGGGGGGGGGTAACAGCCCAAAAGATCTACAAAGCTCCGTCCAGGGTCGAGGTGCTGTGTAGCCGCCGGTCTGCCGCTGGCTGAAGCCGACGGTGCCGACACCTCTCGGCCGGGGCGCGCACTGACCCAGCTTGGTGTTTGCTGTAGATGCCGCGAGGTGGCGGTGGCGGCGGGCCAAGCATGCCCTCGGCTTCCGGCCTCCCGCCTGGTCTCAGCTACCCAGCCTCCTTCGGCGGCCAGGAATTTGTCAACCAGGACATCCAGCTGTCAAATCTGAACTCGCTTCACCCGTGGAACACATCCGTGGGCATAGGAGTCGTCCCGCAAGGAGGCCATCCCTCCATGCACCACAAGTAAGGCGCTCCCACGGCGCTAGGCCAAACTGCTGAGAATTATCTCATTAAGAAGACTCAGCGAAATTCTGTGCGACATGTTGTCCGTCTATGATGAGAGACGATATGGGCTTAGTGTCCCGAATTTTTGTATCGCCATTGCCTCTTTAATATCAGCCACCAGTTGTCCCCACCGAGCCCGTTATTGATGCAGTTCTTAGAAGAAGCGTTGCTAGAAAACACGGTGTGCTTACTTTCGCTGTCTTATCTCTCCACGCGGCCGCTGCCCGGCATATGTGTGTTCATGACTGCGGATCGTGTGTGTGTGTGTATGGGTTGGGATGAGGCTAGCACCTACCGAGGACAGACATTTGTAGGAGTTTGTAAACTGTTCACACATGTTGTGGGACATCAAAGATGAAATACCAGCGAACATTTCCGTGCTTTATGTGACGTCATTTGTTGCCCTGAACGTTGAATTCCGGAGCCGCTAACCACGCCAGCGACGGGTGGATTGTCACGATTAAAGTTATGCAACGGCCGTTTAACCGCGTGTGTGGAATGTCAACCACGCCTGTCACCCCTTGGGTCAAAGTGAGCATTTGTGTGGATTATGTGCCCAGATTGTCTCTGTCGCCGCGCTGACTGATGAACGGTTGGTTTCGGGGAAAGCTGTTTCTGGTGGCGCCCCTCTGCTGCAACTGACTGATGGCGCCCCTCCGCTACAGCTGTCCCTGACGATGCCCCCTCATACAGCTGTCCCTGATGGCACCAATCCGCTGCAGCTGTACTCCAACGGCGCCCCTCCGCTACAGCTGTCCCTGACGACGGCCCTCCCGCTGCAACTTTCTCCGACGGGCGCCCCTCTGCTACGCTGTCCCTGACGGCGCCCCTCTGCTACAGCGGCCCCTGACGGCGCCCCTCCGCTACAGCTGTCCCTGACGGCGCCCCATCCTCGCAGCTTCTCCGCGGCGCCCCTCTGCTACATCTGTCCCTAATGGCGCCCCTCAGCTGTAGCTGTCTCTGGCGGCGCCCCTCAGTTGCAGCTGTCCCATGACGGCGCCCCTCCGCTGCGTTGTCTCCGACGGCGCCCCTCTGCTACATCTGTCCCTAATGGCGCCCCTCAGCTGCAGCTGTCTCTGACGGGCGCCCCTCGGTGCAGCTGTCCCTCACGGCTCCCCTCTGGTTGCAGCTGTCCCTGACGGCGCCCTCTGTTGCAGCGTGCCGCACGTCTCCGTCTCGAGCAGCTCGCCGCCTCCGCACGGCGGCTCGCCCTCCCCGCTACGCATGATTAAGAGCGAGCCCGTCTCACCGCCTCGCGACGGCCACACCCCCGAACGGCATGCAGCACATGCGTCCCAGCTCCACCGGCCACCTGTCGCCCGGCAATATGGCGCCAGGTGAGTGGCGCGCCTGCTCGGCCGGCATGCAACGGGCTGCGGAGAGGGGTCAGTGCTCACCTGCTCTGACCGGTGATGGTCGGAGTTGTTTGGTGTCGGCGTGGAGTGGGCTGCAGAGGTCAGTGTTGAGCTGATCTGACCGGTCATGGTCGGGTTTGTTTGGTGCGGGCGTGGAGCGGCCTAAGGAGGGGGGGTCAGTGCTCAGCTGCTCTGACCGGGAGCGATCAGGGTATATTCGGCGCCGTCCCGGGCCTGCTCTCCCCTGTGTCCTTGGGAACAAGCAGGGAATGGAGCTGTGCAATGTTTTAAGCTTTTGAGCCGTCGAAACGGGCTTCTTCTGGTCCTATATCATATTAAGGAAATCTTAACTTTATCTCGGCCCGAAGACCAGAGGGCAGCCACTTTCTGCTGCTTTGGACCGACTGATTCCACGAGGTTTCCTGCTGTCAGCTCTGCGTGTCTCAATCGCCCCGGTCTCTGCGGGTGTAGGCCTGTTCTGTTTGCGTACGCTGGGCAGCGGTTGTACACCTTTTGCTCAGCTGCATAGACGCTAGGCCTGTGTCTGGTAGTAAATGACAGGTCTGTCCGGATTCATCTCTTCTCTTCCCTGGGACGGGTCTTCTGGCCTGAAATCCTGTATCGTTTGGTGCAGTGGGGCAGGGAATCACGTAGATTCTCAGACGTTGGACGTGTGATCTCACCAGTTTCATCCTCTGCGCTGGCTCCCCGGGGACTGGGGTGTTCAAGGTCCAGTGGGGAACGTAAACCGGATTTGAGCCGAGCAAATGTGGTTGGCGCCAGGCTTTGCAATGAAGGTGGAGCTATTGCCAGTTTACACCAGACGGATTTACGTTCTATAACAGGAGACATTCTGATTTGAGAATCCTCACCGGAATATTGTATTCCATTGCCGTAATTTGGCAATTCTCTACATCCATCAACGGTCGACAGGTTATCCTGATGCAGCGACTATCGTTTAAAACAATCAGGAAAACAGTGCAGATCAAAGGACGCGCTACGGGTTCGCGTGCTCGTCACAACCAGCGTGGCTATACAACCAAAGCTGAATTAAGCCATTAACTGTGTGGTGGAACTTTTAAACCTCTGTGCAGACATTCCAGTCACCATATCAAGAGCATTGTATCGTATGACAGGCTGGTGTTCCAGCTGCCTGTCTTAGAGCTCGGGACAGGGAATTCTAACAATGCCCGGAATGGAGTCGTGGTCGGGGGCTGCCAGCATCTGTTGCGACGCTGTCCCGCCGCGTGCATGTTGTGCATGAGAGAGTGCCCGCTGTTGCAGCCCATTTGACGTCATGTGCGGTCAGCGTGCCGGGAGGGGAGGGTCGCAGAGTGCGTCGTTGGTTATTTCTGTAGCATCTGCACTTGAATCTTCGTCATCCACTTCCCATATTTTGTTTTGAGGCGTAAAAAAGCTTCGCCATCGATCTGTCGGAGATAAACAGCACCGCCCGGCTCTCCCCTGCGCCCGGCAGGTGGGCCGGTGAGAGAGCGCATGCTTGTCGAGGCGCCTCACTGACGTCGTCCTCTGCGCTGCAGGCATGGTACAATCCGGCCACCTGACGCCCAACAACCCCAGCCACAGTCACAGCTTCGCCGGAGCCCAGCTTAAGCGACTACGAGTCTGGCCCGATGCACAAGCGACCGCGCATGACCGAACCCGTGGGCGACCTAGCGACCGCGTCTGCGCCCGCGCGCGCGGTGCGCGCGCCTCCGGCGGCGGCGCAGAGCCAGGGCGGAGCGAAGAGTGCCACTGATACGGGTTTGCTCGCCACCACGCGGTGCAAGACTGGACCGATGTGGACGCAGAAGAGTGTCTATTTTCTCAGGAGGTGTGCGCCGGCCCCGGGCGCGTGAGCGGGCGTGTACATAGCAGCGGCCGCCGCCGCGCACGCGGTGCGGAGCCGATCTCAACGGTGGCGGCGGCGGCGGGCGCCCGGCCCGGGCGGCGCCGCGCGCGCCCGTCTCTGTCTCGCCTTGTTTGCCTGCGCTCCATAATGTGAGGACTTCTCGCACTGGTGCGACTGGGCGCCGGCGCGCCACGCACCGGCGAAATCAAAAGTGGGCCGGCGCCGCAGTCCAGGCCCACCACCAGCGGCCCGATGTGTTGTGTCCATGTGCTCAATCTTCCCCGGCTTGCTCTCTGCTCCACTGTACAAATTGTGTTTATTGTTGGATATGCACTCACAGACGAAGCCTATTTGTTCCTGTTTGTGCGCCACTGTTTGTGTCCTCTGTATAGATATATATGTATATGTTTGATCGTGCGGCGGGCGGCGGCGCGGCGATGGTTTCCGTTTTCGCTGGACCACCCCGACAGTGCTGGCTGACAATCGGTGCCGGTCGGTCTCGTTTGGTTCCGTGCTCTTGGCGGCCGGGCTCGCCGGCTCGCGCCGGTGCCAGCGCGCCTCACCCCGGCCATAGAAGAGTAATCAAAACGTAGCGTAACGCTCCGACGCCGTGCGGCGACGCTCCAGTACAAACCAAGTGGCGGGAGGCGGGCGAGGGCGGCCGTCGCGCCGGCCCCGGCCGCTGGGGCGCACGCCGCCGCTCCGGCGAGGCGCCGCCAGCGGGCCCCAGTGCAATGGAGACCAGTTACCAGCGGCCGGCCGGGCCCTATGACAAGCCGCCTTTCATGGCTGTCCGCAGCGCGTGCCCGGCGTTGTTTCATGGCGGTCAGCGGCGAGCGCCAGTCGCTGTTTCATTCTTGCCCTCCTGGAACGGGCATTGAGGTCGCCTGTGCGGCGTTACGAACCTAAAATTGTTACTATTTTTAATATAGCGTGTGTATAAAGGTAGCCGTTTATACAAGTCGTTTGGCCTTACAAAGTGGTCAGAAGCTTTAACGCTACATTGGAAATTTTAAATCTATGACTCACTTGTGACAGGAGGCCAAGGTGCGTGCGTTGTGTTTAGTTGATGACATTGTCCCTTGGTTGGGCCGCCGTTGAATAGTGCGTGCACGCAGGCCGACCCCTAGCGTTCGGAGCCAGTGACTGTGGTCGTGGTAGCGCGTGCGCTCTGTTAGCCGGTGGCGACCTCTGTGTGCAGATGTCACCGGGTTATTGACTTTCTGAGCTTTGTAATGTAGTGGTGATTTGTTTGTCCCTGTGTGAGGGTTAGCGTCCCGCCCGCGCCGGCCGTCCGGTCCTCTGACTGTACACCGACACCAGCCTACATCTTCACACGGACACACGCTCTCACACGCGCCGCGGTGGACCTGTGTTCCGCCCCGGGCCTCTAGCGATCCCCCAGGGCATCGTGCTTTGTTCGCAAATTTTGTAATAATAAAAGAAATCAACGTACGCGAGTATGTTGGTCGGTCGTGAGACTCGAGCCGCAACGTGCAAATGCAGTGTAGATATGGCCCCGCCAGCCTCGATAACCGGGCTTGCAGTTTTGTTCACTGGCGATGGATTTCGCTGGTGCCGCGATGGTGCTGGATTTCGCTGGTGCCGCGACGGCGATGGACTTCGCTGGTGCCGCGACGGTGATGGATTTCGCTGGGGCCGCGACGGCGATGGATTGCGCTGGTGCCGCGACGGCGATGGATTTCGCTGGTGCCGCGACGGTGATGGATTTCGCTGGTGCCCGCGACGGCGATGGATTGCGCTGGTGCCGCGACGGCGATGGATTTCGCTGGTGCCGCGACGGTGATGGATTTCGCTGGTGCCGCGACGGCGATGGATTGCGCTGGTGCCGCGACGGCGATGGATTTCGCTGGTGCCGCGACGGTGATGGATTGCGCTGGTTGCCGCGAAGGCGATTGGATTTGCGCTGGTGCCGCGACGGCGATGGGTTTCGCTGATGCTGCGGCGGTGCTGTATTCGCTTAGCCGGCGCCACCTGGGCTTCGCAGGTTGCTCCCGGAACCCGGGCACTTATTGACGTAAACTGTCATACAGTGACAAGGCGCCTATTGCGGTGTGGGATACGCGAGGGAATGGCGCAAGTAAATTTTGGCATCGTGTATACGACGTCAATATGCAGTTGTATGGATGGACACTTGGAAGCTCTAGAAACCCACACGACTGGGCCTCACAATGCGTCAGAGTAACCCATTCTCCTGAGTTCGGCAGGCGGGGGCACGCAGACCAGGATGGAGTTGACTCTCATGTTTGCCAAAGACTTCTCGAAATTTCGCTGGTCTTGGGCCTGGAAAGATCCAAACTTTTACTCGATGGTAGCCATGACCTTGGGACAATTATAGGGCTTTGGTGCCTGTGGCCAGCACGCGACAATAATTGCTGTGGTCTAAACTGACGGTCGCGAAACACTGTTCAGTCCCCCCCCCCTTCCCCCTCCCCCAGTTTCCATAGTCATTCGATCTCGGCTTAGACTACAACCTGTCGCAGTCGAAGCCAATTTCGCAAAGTTGGCATGTGTCAACTCCCGCACGGATCGGTCCGACAGTTTGGGATTTTTAGCGACGTGAGACGGCATATTGCCTCAACGACGCAGTCGGCTTCATGCTGCTATGCGCTCTAGCTGCCGAGGTCCGACACTGGTAGCGATAACCATACATCCGCGAAACCCGTGGATCAGCAGTCACGCATCCACCCTAGAACCCGCGGATCGATGAGCAGCGCTCGACACCGTTACATGCAGCGGCTCACAATTTGTCGATATCATTGTTCGTTCTTTCCTCCGCCAGGACATGTCGATTTCGCGTCGCTCCAGTCCTGTACTGTCAAATCTGAGTCCGGCTTTGGTCTGTGTCATTCGAATTTTTGACAATTGAAGGAAAACAACGGTTCCCCTGCTGGGGATGTGCTGGGAGTGGGGATGTGACGCAGTGAAACTGTAATGTTCCCAAAAATACAGCTTGATCAGTGCGGATGCAGATGCGTATAAAAACTACGGATTAGGGCATCAGATATGTATACACATACATATATATTTATATATATATATATATATATATGTATATACATATGTATGTATGTATATACATATATAAACTACACTGTGAAAAAATTGAACTGCTTCTTGTTGAAATTTTCATGACAGTGAGAAGAGTGTCAGGGCTAAGTTCAGTTCAGTTCATTGCATTCACGAATCATTCCAACAAGTGGCTTATTGTTGGACTTATTGTATGACTTAATGGACTGGGCTGGGCCGCTGACGGCATCCAACGATCGTTTGGCTTACACTAAAACTCGCTTCGACTTGCGGCCGTGCTCGCCAGCGTACCGCTATGGGCAAATTTATCGCTAATGAAAGTGATGTCCCTCGCCAAAACTGAAGCTGAAACTGTTTGACGACGAAATGAAAAAAGCAACGAAGGCCCCGAAGGCAAACGAAGACTAACAAAGGACTAGGACCCCAGCATGGAAACGGGTAAAAAACATCCTAGCCCCATGACGACGGAAAGTGGAAAAGACGTGACCAACGTCCGGAAGTGTCTCTGCCATGCACGTTTAATGATTAATGTTGGTGTTGAATAACCACTTACCTGCTCAGGCAAAGCACATAGTTTCGCGACCGCATTGGTTGATATTTGGCATCGGTGTATTTTAACAAGTTTTCAGGCAGCACTCATTAACAGACAACAGCGCATTCACACACAACGAAACTCCCGGTAACAGGTTGTAATGGGCGCGACCTATCTCGCGAAAATCAATATCAACGTGAGATAACTAATTACCCCCTGGGTTTAGCACGAAACTATCGATTCACCACGCCCATCACGGGCGACATCTGCCGTCGACCCGGGCACTCTGTGACTCCAGAGCTCACCACTAGACGGCGCCAGCGGCGAATCCCGCCCTGAGGTGGTGTCGGGTACGGCGCCGTCCGAAGTATGTCACGTGCGCAGCTGGCGCTCGTGGACCGGGCGGCCGTCTAGTCCAGGCGAGCGGAGCGGGCGTGACGGCCGAGCTCCGGCGCCGCCGCCGACTGACGGCTGCCGCTGGCGAGCCGGGGCTGCGCGGCACACAGGCACACAGCACTGAGCGCCTTGGCCAAACGATGCCTGTCGACGGCCAAGGCGTTCAGAGGACGCGCAGTTGGTTACAAACAGCCGGAAGGCTATCGTGTGGGTCGCTGATACTCTCAGGCGTACTTTGCTGCATTTCACTCACGGTATGACACTTGCCATCGGGATAGCGGCGTGGGTGCTGCGTCAGCGAAGCAATTAGCTCTGCTTGCGTGGAGTGCATGGAAAAGTGATGCTACAATTTCGAAATATAGGCCACGAAGTTACGGGACCTCACCTCTTCTCGGGACGTTACTTTGTGAAGTTGTTGAGAACTCTCCCAAGATCTAAGATCTTTGCGTACAGTCTGCCAAATGCTCCCGTAGGATTCGGCATTTTTCCAATTGTTCTCAAGGAGGTCTCCTTTGGTCCAGAATTTAAATTCATTTTAACCGTCTTTCTATCCCTAAGATTCCTTTGTAATTTTTGGCGAGGGATGCTCTGGTATCCGACTTTGACTTCTTGCATCTTGGTACATGACTGACTGGTACATACCTCGTGTTCGCGGGTGTTTCTGTAGAAAGCTTATCTAATGACCGGCTTCAGGAAACTTTCCGAAATTGCCCTCCGCATGAAATCCTCCCTTCGGGGAAGCAGAATAGTTCACAACTTGCAGCTTGCCAGACTTATCGTAGAAGCCGTATCGCCCCTTCAGATTTCCGTACCCGTCTCTCTCCTCAAACCGGAACTGGCGGTTGTACCTGCGAAGAAAGCGGCAGAAACATTACGGCAACACTACACCCGAGTAGTGTTTGAGATTTGCATAGTTCCGTAAATGTATGCTGCACCACACTTATAATACCATCACGGATCTCAGCATGTTTGTCAGCTTTAATATTTACCTCTTTCCTTTTGCACATTCGGTATCACACTATGGTCAGCAGGTATCGTGGCACAAGCCCGCTGTCGCTTCATTGGAAGCGGTGCCATAAATATCCCAGCCAACCCTCCGAAGACCTTTCGGAGAAGGTCAGATTTCATGACTTTTTTCGTGATGCGCAAGAGGCTTCCCCACTCTACCACGGCTCCGCCACATTCCCACAAGCACGCTAGCCGGCGGACTTGTGCCTCGTAGTGCCCCATTGTCGGCTGCGGTCGACTGGAATCACGGCACCTCGGCATCGACCAAACTGCAGCCGCAGGCGGCACTCGCCCCCGCGCCGGCCGGCTCCGACGGTCGATACCGTTGGAGGTCACCGACTGGGCCGACAGCGGCACCGGCCGACCGGCAGCCCGGTGGATCCTCAGCTCCCGCACCGCCCGCTGGAGCCGTCTGACTCGACAGCGAGCCGTCTGACTCGACAGCGAACCGTCTGACTTGACAGCGAGCCGTTTGACTCAACAGCGAGCCATCTGACCCGACAACTAGCCATCTGACCCGACAGCGAGCCGTCTGACTCGGCGGCGAGCTGTCTTGTCGTGCGCAGACTCGTCTGGCCGTCATCTGGTCCGCCTGACCGACATCGCACACGTCTGGCGGGTCCGCGCCTGACGCTGGTCACGTAAGGACGACCTTGGTCTGACCGTTGGCTGCGTCCGTGTGACGTGTGTCGAGCATCTGTCATGTGCGCTCGCTCCATCGGACTCCGCGTCGGCCCGAATGACAGAAATGTTGTGCTCCTCTGATTACTACAAGACCCAGTAAACCATCGGCCTGTTCTGGTTATGTGTAGCATCGACCATCACGCTACCAAAAGTTTCCGTCGGCCGGGCTCCGTCGGCTTAGCCTCTCCCTCCCCTTACACCTCATCCGGAGCTATCAGCCCTGGATTTGTCAGATGCTCCGCCTCCTCCCCCCCCCCCCCCCGGACACGTTCATGCCACAGGCGTCCCTCGTGGAGGGATGGCGGGACCACATCATATCCGCCGCGGCTCCGGGGAAAGTGGTGACGTTCCCGGCGCGCTGCGCCGACATCGCCGTGCGGCTCGTTTCTCGTCACGGTCCGGCTCCGACGCGCCACAGCTCCGTTTCGCACCACTGATTTCAGCGAAAGTGTGCCTGACCGGCTTGAGCGGCGCCGAGCAAAGGAGAGAGGACGGAGCGCATGGGAGAGAAGGCAGAGCGCAAGGGTAGAAAAGGCAGAGCACAGAGGAGAGGAGGCAAAGCGCAGGGACGGTAGAGCGCAGGGGGGTGGAGGCAGCGCGCAGGGAGGGAGTGAGGGCAGAGCACAGGGGAGAGGAGGCAGAGCGCAGGGAGGGAAGACAGAGCGCAGGGGAGAGGAGACAGACTGAGGAGACAGAGCGGGGCAGTATTACCTCACCCCTGGGGCGGTTTCGTGCACGGCAGGGACGTGGTACGGGGCGGAAAGCGAGGGGCGAGATGGCCGCGAACCGCGGCCACGGCGGAACCAGACGCGTTCGGATCTTCTGACGCAGTCCAGAGAGCGAGACTCGCGCCGCCGGCCATGTTCCCGTGGCGATCACAGCTGGGTGGTCACCGAGACAGGCGCGACCGTCAAGATTCATCCCGCGATTTCTCTCGTCGCGGAGGCTCGGAACTGGCCGGCGTCGCGCTCGGGTGCGCTTCTCCCAAGCATCGTCACATCCTTCACTGAGACCGGTGACTCGATTAGCCGCCGAGAGGGTTCGCTGGGTGATTTTCCGTCCATCAGGCCGAGCGGCTGGCACGACGGGCCGATGGCGGGCAGAAACGCGGCGCGAGACGAGCCCGCCAATGAGACGCATCGGCGCCCGCTAAACTGGGCCAGAGCCGCCGGCGGCGGCGGCGGCGGCGGTCGAACGGGTGCGCAGAGGGCGAGCGGGTGCGACGGTGCTCAGCTCCGGACCTGACCGGCCCGGACCTACGTCACGCAGACACACTTTGCCGCAGGTGACATCCGTTCACACACCCCTCGGTTCCACAGCTTGTTGTCGCCTACCTTAGTTACGTAAGGAAGTTTGAGCCAGCATGACTCCAGGAATTTTTTGACCTAGGAGGTTGAGCAAAAGTTACTGTTTGGGGATGCATCTCTTGCGAATTAGCGCTAGCGGTAGGCCCACACAAATCGCCAAATATAACAAACCTCCGCAAGGAAAAATGCGCATTTAACGCATCTGGTCTGGTGCCATGCCTGTTAATCGTAGGCACTGATGGCTTCTGCTAAGCTAGGGTTCATGTGAACTGCATAGCGTTGTTAAGTTTGGCAGTGGGATTAATGCATGCTTTGGTGGTGTAGTCTTTCCGCTCGTAAGCTGGGACGCACGAACTTCCCTTAGTCTGCGGATTCCCAGCCCCAGTGGGGCATTTATGCCTCAACATGATGCGGAGCCTTTCATATTGGATTGTGAGCACAGCTTTAAAATTTGATGGCTTCGCTTCTGGCAAGCGGTGCAGAAAAGTCCATTGCACTTATTTACGACCTGCTTAGTTGGGGCAAAATTGGGTAGCTTTGCAGACAAACTACCCACGCGAGATGGACGGTAGAGAAGGATTTGCTGTTAAGGCGCCAACGTGTGAGCCTGCTCCCATTGCTGGGAACGGCGGATGCAGTGTCACGGCTTGAAAAGATAGAGCCATTCTGACGGGCGTTGAACGCGGGGGGGGGGGGAAGTACGACGGGCCCCCTTCCGAGAGACGCGAGGCGTCACCGTGGTGGACAGGGTGGCAGGGCAGCACTACGGCCATGCTCACAATAAACTACGCACCATGTATGTCATGGATCTGGGGCTGAATCGATGCTACAAACATAGCAGTACGTTACGTGAGAGAATCAATCATTATCAGAGCATGTCCCGCGTGTGCCGCCATTAGTTGGGGTATTCAACTCGTGAGTGGCTTTCAAATCTGTCAATCGTGCTTTGCTTGATGGCAGTCTCATGTCAGGCGAAAGATAGCCAACATGTCCAAACTTATGCGGTCATGGTCGCTACCAAGTGCTTGAACATAATAAAACTCATTTAGTTGGGTCACGCGTTGCGCGCCCAAAACGTTTGTTGACGTGTTTAGTTATGTGTCAGCGCTCTATAACAGATAGCGGTGATCCATGCTTTGCTTCCTTAACGGTAGCCAAGACCTTCAAGTGACTTCCAGCCTCTTCACAACGCGTTTAGTAGCGAGCTCCTGCTGCGGCTCAACCTGCGCGATAGGAGCTGCCGGCCCGACTCCCAGACAGCGGGCAGCGTTTTCCAGCAGCTGGGGTGGCAGCTGTGGTCAGGCTAATACGAGAGCGTCGGACACGGGACAGGCAGCCAGCTCGCTGAGAGCAGCTAGGGTGCAGCTGTGGTCAGGCTAATACGAGAGCGTCGGACACGGGACAGGCAGCCAGCTCGCTGAGAGCAGCTAGGGCGGCAGCTGTGGTCAGGCTAATAGGAGAGCGTCGGACACGGGACAGGTAGCGAGCTCGCTGAGAGCAGCTAGGGCGGCAGCTGTGGCCAGGCTAATAGGAGAGCGTCGGACACGGGACAGGCAGCGAGCTCGCTGAGAGCAGCTGGGGCGGCAGCTGTGGTCAGGCTAATAGGAGAGCGTCGGACACGGGACAGGCAGCCCGCCCGCCGAGCCGTGACGGCTAGCTCGTGCACCTGCGCAAGGCGGCTGGACGGCACGAGCCGGTGCTAATCGTGACAACGTCGCCGTCAGCGTGGTGTGATGTACTTTGCGACATCAATCGTGTATGGAATACATGGTTCGAAGAGAATGTTGCGGAAAGTAATCTTTCCCGGACAAGTGCAGCATCTCATGACGTGTGCTACATTGGAATATCGTGTGCGGTCCGCACTCCACCCCGAAGACCTGCCTTTAAGTCGTATTACTTGATGGTTGGGAATTGCTCCTCAATTAGGATCAATGTCCAGCATCATTTACCCGCTGCCTCCACTATTTAAATGTGCTCCTTGATAGCTCTCTGCGTCGGTCTCTCCTTCATGCTCTACTTCACTTGGCTATTCAGCTCTGCTTACTTAGCCAGATTAAGGTTGTAGTAAGGGTGACCCGACAAAGTTGCACTGAACCCAAGACAAAAGCCGGACAGGTGCGACACCTTTTGATAATCGCACGACAGCGCAGCGACCGTGTGTGTTACCATAGTCCTGGTGAAAGGTGGTCTTGCTCCCCTCAGTGCCAGCAATCGGGGCTGGCTTCGCTTTTGAGGGATTGTAATAATCAGATCATTGAACGTTTTCAGCATCAACTAGCTTCATAAATAGTGAAATGCATCACGGCACAATCTAGCGCATGGGTTAGGCCCCAGCTGAAGGTTAGGCGACGTCAGAGGGCAGGGCGGACCGTGCCGAGCACTGCAGCACGATCAACTTTTGTCAGAAAATTCTGTCGTTGACTCGGAATTGCACGATCAGATAGTAAGCGTCAGGACTCAAACAACAAGCACAGCTCAGAGTGAGCTATGATCGCAGAAATTCATGCATTCAAAAGATTCGGATAGGCTAGCTAAAAAAGGCCCGGGAAGAGCTGTCGGCAGACATAATGTCACGAACCGCGTGCTGTGACGCGTCATTTACTGGCCGAGTTCGGGGCACCCATCCCGCGTCCACGGACGCCGGAGCGGTGGCGGCACATCGGCGGAAGCCTCCGACGCGTGCTGACGCGTTATCACTCGGGGCTTACCATGGGAGCCACAGCGGCCCGGTCACCGCACGGGATGTCAGTGTGGTGTCAGCTGCCAGGGCCAGGAGGTGCCGGCACCGTGACGGCAGAGGCCACGTGACGTCGCAGTGTGAGAACGGACGCCACGCCACGACATTGGAGCGAAACCAGAAGCCGGCACCGGTGCGGCCGCACCGCCGTCCACCCCGTCACTCACCCGGTGCCGGTGTCGTACCCGAAGCGGTAGCTGTGCGGCCCCTCCTGGCCGTGCACCTGAAACTCGAGCCGCTGCTTCTCCTGCTTCTTCGGGATGGTCAGGCCGTAGTCGTCCTGACGCGGACTGGCGATCGCCTGCGGCACAGACCGGCTGGTCAGCGTGCCTCGGGCGGGTCCGCGCGCGGTCACCGCCGGCCGTCGAGGTCAGCGGGCGCTGGACGACCTACCCACGCACCGCATCACACGGTCACACGCGAGTCACGCGCTCAGACGACTCTCTTGCGGCCGAATCACCGACGATTTCCGGCGGCCTCATTCCTGGTCGGCCGCTGTTCGCCCGAGTTTCACGGTGCTTCGGACTCACGCCGTCGCGCGGAATCACTCGAGGGCGTCTTGTGACTGCGCGCTGCCGTCAGCGATTGTCATGTCTCACGCGCTCACGGTCGGTCACACCCTGCCTATGGTCGGTCACGGTCAGGGAGCGTGCGGTCAGAGTAGGCTCCAGGCGCACGTCACGCACTGACCGCGTTCGCACGGCCGTCCCGACTCAAACATGCACGGCCTCCAGACTCAAACACTTTGACATGCACGGTCTGCAGACTCAAACACTCAAACATGCACGGCCTTCAGACTCACTCAGACATGCACGGTCTCCCCGGCTCAAAAATGCACGGCCTCTAGACTCACACACTCTAACATACACGGTCTGCAGACTCAAACACTCAAACATGCACGTCCTCCAGGCTCACTTAGACATGCACGGTCTCCCCGACTCAAACATGCACGGTATCCCCGACTCAAACATGCACGGTCTCCAGACTCAAATATGCGCGGCCTCCTCGAATCAAACATGTAAGGCCTCTCGGCGCGCACGCTCGGTTCACCGCTGCTCGTGGGACTCACAGCTCGAAATTATGTGCAAAGGTGCAACTAATATTGAGCTGGATAGAACCGAATATCTGAACTTTGGCGTTTGTCTCGAATGTGAAGGTTCGACCCCTAGTGCGTTTCAAGTTACGTCTGCACCATGCACCCTACAGTAGTCCAAATCGCCGGCACAGCGGTCCAAATCCACACAGCCAGTCGTCACTGCAGCCAGCTGGTATGTGGGAGAGACCCGTTATGTTTAGAGGGACAGGGTCTGGTCCTACCGTGGTCCCGCCGCTCCTTCCCTTCGATGCGTCACTACAAGACGCCATTCACGGGCTGAGATGCCACTCCATGGGGTCCATTATGTTGGGTTCCTTAGTGCTGGTCACCAGCCTGCATCTTCAACAAGCTTACTCTGTAAGGTAGTCAACTGTTTTCTGAACATTTGAGTAACAAGCAATATTTCGCAGCAGTAGAGGGTCAAAACCGCGCGTGGCTCCCTTTTTATAGCGTATCTTACCCGACTCTAGGCTAAAATATGAGTAAGTGCACGCGTTGCCCAAACTCCGCACCGTATCACCCGACACCTCGCTTCAGCACAGATCAGCTTGGAGGTCGGGGAGGTCAAGCAGGCCAGGGCTCAAAGGTCAGAGAGGTCAGACAGGTCAGAGCTCAAAGGTCAGAGGGGTCAGATAGGCCAGAGCTTAGAGGTCAGGGAGGTCAGACGGCCAGGGCTCAGAAGCCCAGATGCACATCCTGACCTGGTCACCAGGTCAGGTCAGGAACATTCCTCCTCCGCACCGACCTGGCGCTCGGCGAACGCAGCTCGGGGCGGGGACGCCTCAGACGCGGAGAAGGGCGCCACGTAGTCACGCGGGTCGGGCAGGCCCTGCCGGCGCGCCGGGGTCGTCAGGGCTGCCGCCGACAGCGCTGCGTCGGCGCTTGGCGGCGCCGGACGCAACGCGATGACGGGCCGCCGGCGCCGCTGCACCAGCGAGGTTGACGGGAGCCGGCTGCGACCGGCAGTCAAGCCGGCCGAGGGCCGGGCGCCGGCGGCGGGCGCGTCGAACAGCGCCTGCTCGCGAGGGCCGACCTCAGCGTACAGTGACGGCTGGGGTGGGGCCACCGAGTCGTACAAAGGCTGCTGGTCTTCCAGAGACGTCCGACGGCGGGCCGGGAGCTCTCTGTAGACCGACGGCTGATCGGGGGCTGATGGGTACAGCGACGCCTGCTCCCGAGCTGGTGGCTGCAGCGGTGACTGCTCCCGGGCTGGCGGGTATACTGATGGGTGCTCGCGGGCTGGTGAGTCCCTGTACAGCGGGTACTCCCGCCGATCTGGGAGGTCATCGTACAGGGTTGGCCGCTCCCTGGCGGCAGGACCGCTGTGAGCTGTCCTTCGCAATGCCGGCAGGTCCCCGTACGCCAGAGGCGGCTCTGGCGGCGGCGCGGTTCGCTGAGGAGGCTCCCGGTCCGCCCGGAGTGCCGGCAGGTCCTTGTACACCAGCGGGGGCCGGGCGCTCCGCTCGGAGGGCTCCCGGTACGCCCGGAGCACAGGCAGGTCCTCGTACACCTGCGGGGGCCGGGCGCTCCGCTCGGAGGGCTCCCGGAGTGGCGCACCACGCGCGGACGGTGACGGGTCGGCCGACGGCTCGTCGAACAGCGAGTCGAAGCCGACACCCTTCGATTCCAGGTACTCCTCGAAGCTTTGGTGCAGGTCACCAGTGAATGGGGAGTCGACCTGGTGGAGGGATCGCGTGATTTGCTGGTTACCGGGTGGAATATTTCATGCGTTGGGGTCAAAGGTCGGAACGGGTCGATCACCGGGGTGAAAAACTTCTGATTTATCGAATATGATCGGTGACAAAAACGGACACTTTGCGAGCCAATTGGTGACGAAATTAAGAAAATGAAAAAATTACAACAGACCGGACCATACTGCAACAGTCCATCCCAGCCAGACGAAACACAAAGCTTATTATTCGTCTGTATTCGCTAGTGCTTGCAGCGTAAGCTGTGTATAGCACATGTAGAAACTTTGGCGTTCCACTGTATGATGCCAAACATAGAAGCTTTAAACGGGATAGCATTAGCAGGTGACAGAATTATACTAAAAACTACACTACATCATTACTGACGTCGCAGATGAGTGGCAGCACCGTGCTTTCCAATCTCAGACCGGTGCTCTTCATGGATTTTTTCGTAAAGGAAAGTGCTGAGTACTCGGAAGTAGTGGTTTTATTTCCTTTCAATTTGGCATTGCTACCCTATACTGCTACTTTTTAGCAAGGACATTGCCCGTGAGAAATGCTCAATATTCAAGACCTTGACATAATAATTTCAGCTCACTGTCGTTTTCGTAAAAAATAAATCGTTTATATCCCCCAAAAGTTGGGCAAAATGTTGCTCCGGTGAGCCTGCTGATGTGCGGTGTAAGTGTAAATAGTTGGTAAGAGTTGAAAGTTGTTACGGTCATTTACGACCATATATGTATACACCTGGAGTCGGGAGGTACCACTTAGCGACTTAATGATGCTAATTAACAATGATATTTAAGGTACTCAGTATTTCTAGCTGTGCTCAACCTCAGAAGTGACAGAGTTCAGAAAGGTTCAGCAGAACATTATCTTTGAAAACTAAGACCGGTGAATCCAGAAAATGTTTTTAATCTGCGCAGATCCTGCCAGATCCTCAAATTTGTCAAAAAAAAAGGAGGAGCTGGCGTTTTTCTGGGCAGGTGCTCCCTGGCGAGACAGGGCCACTGTGGGCCGTCCCTCGCGGTCCCAGCACATGTTGTGCTCTGCGTGAATGCCCCTGTGAGTGCTCTCTGTGAGTGCACTCACATATCTGAGCGGGTGCTCGGTGTGAGACGTTGGGCGACTGACTCACCCTTCGTTGGATGCGTCTGGGGACGGCCGCAGCCCTTCTGGCGGCCAAGCTGCCGCCGACGCTGGCGGCCATCACCTGGGCCGCGTCAGATCAGCCGTTAAACAGCCGCCTGGGCCGGACACACGTCCAGCGACTTCAACGCCGACGCGGTCACGCCGAAACAACTGCAGTCGCGCACGGCAAGGTAACACCAAAAGCCAACCGCCGGCGGCCGGCGGCCCAAATGCGGCCGCGGAGGGCACCGGGGAACGCCAGACAGGTCAGAGAGGGGACCGGGGAACACCAGACAGGTCAGCTACACCACGTACGATTAAACGGCATTTTAGCTAAAAAATCAGCGGTGTGCGATACTCCACCTGGGATTGCACTCCAGCACTCGCTGGCAGTGTCGGCTACGGCCAGATGTCTCGCCCCGGGGCCAATAGAGTGGGGCCCACAGAGCGGGGCCCACAGAGCGGGGCCCACAGAGAGGAGCCCACAGAGCGGAGCCCACGGAGCGGGGCCCACAGAGCAGGGCCCACAGAGCGGGGCCCACAGAGCGGAGCCCATGGAGCGGGCCACAGAGCGGGCCCACCGAGCGGGGCCCACAGAGTGGGGCCCACAGAGCGGAGCCCATGGAGCGGGCCACAGAGCGGGCCCACCGAGCGGGGCCCACAAAGTGGGGGCCACGGAACGGGCCGCAGAGCGGGCCCACAGAGCGGGGCCCGTGGGCCACTTACGGTGCACAGCAGCAGAGCCCTCATGGTTTCACCGGCGCGGAGCGGCCACTGTTGGCCGCAGACGGCGACGGCGTCGCTTTATAGACGCGCCGTCAGCGACGCGGTGGTCGGCGCCGAGAAAGAGCGAACGTGATAAGTGGCGGGCGGCTCGCGAGGGTGTGCCGCTGGCAGTCTTGCATGCACGCGCGCAGCGGTATTCATCAGACGCGGGGCTCCTGAATCGCCGGTTAAACGAGGGTTTGCCTGCTGCCTGTCATGCAGTAACTGTAAGCGCAGTATGCTTCAACGCGAAAAGCCGGAGCGTTTGGTTTTGTGGAAAATTAGACTTCCTTCTTCACACAGAGTTTGCTGATGCGGGCAATAAAAGCAGACACAATTGAGAGCGATCTCATCATACGCCTTTGCTGGCAATCAAAAAGTGCTCCGCAAGGATATGTATATGCCTGGTTAATCCCATCAAATCTGAACAATGCGTGCATGACAGCAGATGACATGCAGTCCTCTAACGTGCATGTTATGTTCATGTGTGTGGCATGTCCGAGTTTGCAATGCCTAAGGGATCTCCAAGATTGCCATGGGATGTCCAAGTTTGTAATATTCGAGTGATATCCAATTTTGCAATGCCCGTGGGATGCCCGTTTGTAACGTTCGTGGGATGCCCAAGTTTGTAAAGTTCGTGGGATGCCCAAGCCTGCAATGTTCGTGGATGTTGAAGTTGGTAATGTTCGTGGGATGTCTAAGTTTGCAATGTTCGTGGATGTCCAAAATTTGCAATGTTCGTGGGAGCTTCTCGTTATTTATCACTGATCATCTTGACCACGTTCTGACTTGTTTCTTTCGCCATGTTTTCCTTTATTAGGGACTTACAAGTGTAAACGTACCTGGTGAGATGCACGTTATAACTACACTCGGATGACGATAAAAAAAATGCAAAATTGCGATGATTACGGGGAATTTGGGCCACAAACGCTAAACAGCTCGAAGGTGTTCTAGCAGCCCATCAGCATATCAACTTTGAGGAATTGTTATGTGCAGAAGATTTTCGAGCTGTTAAGTCTTATCAGATCAAGATTTGACAGTCTTTTGCAGCTCTGGATGTTGAGCTTTGTAAGCATTCCAAAGAACCCGAGCTCAAGAGTACGAGTTTTTCGGCGTCACCTTCACTGCAGGAATGATATCACCGTCGAGGCTATCAAGTGCACACAACGAAAGCGTCTTCCGGGCTCTGGTCACGATATATGGCAGCAGTTTAGACCGTGAGCAGCGCTCTGATATGATCTGGCTCATCGGGCCGTGACGACGGCGGGCTCACCCGTCGCCTCTCTCTCGGCCCGGAGGGCAGCTGGATGATGTTCTCCGCACGGCCTGCTCGCGGGTGCCAGCTCCCCCGCCACCTTGCACGCTCTGGCGCCCCGGCTCCGCGCCAGAGGGGCTTCCTGCGTCCGGACGTGCCAGACTTCCATGCGAGAACGGGTAGAGGAAAGGGTGTAACACACGATAACATGTGTGACCCCTGGGCAGGATGAGCTTACTCCGCTACACTCCGTCACCCTGTTACACATTCAGCGAAGAAATAAACCTAATCTTAGTCAAATAAAACGCACGTAGGTATGTTCTGTGGTTTTGGTGTGATGTTTTTCACATGAACTATGCAGGACATCTCAGGATCCCCTGCAGTATCCTGGCTAAAGCTATGTAGGATACCACACACATTCTTACAATATTCCTAGACAAACTATCCAGAACACCTCAGAAATCCTGCTTGGGTTTTCAGAATATAGCCTATAATTCACAAGATATTCCAGCAACATTTCTTAGGATATGCTACAGGATATCTCTGAGAATTAATAGTTAAAAATGCGCGGCTTTCAAAATATCCTGCATAACATCTTGCGCATCCCTCCCCCTCCCCCCCCCCCCTCAACCTGCAGGATTCCTCATAGAGACCCACCGGACCTCTCACAAAGCTCTGCATGATCCCTTACAAATCTTTCAGGATCCCTCGGACAGTCAGTCAGAATATCTCACAAAACCCTGCAGGTTTCTTCACGGGATCCTGCAAGATCCATAACAAACCTGCAAGGAATGTCAAAACATCCCACACAGTCACTCACAAAATCCTGCAGCATCGTTCATCGAATTTCTTACAGGAATTACACAGTGTACCTTACTATGTTAAGCAAAACTGAAAGTCAAGTACTGTGAAAAACTCTATCGTAGGATGCCATGGAAACCACCAATGTAATCCAAGAATTTCTTCTTGACTGCCGAAAACTATTTCTTAAAGTTCGTAACAAATTATAAAATACCGCTGCATGCGCAATTTCGCAAAATATGCGCAGTTCAGAAGCAGTGAGTTGCTTCGGCGGTTATGATTGAAATATATCGTGGCTGTTACATATTGCGGCACCTAGTGGGAGTCGTTTTGATAAGACGTACATCTTATATTGTGCATATGTATCGTTGCACTTCATTCTATTGCAATCTTGCACTCGGAAGTCCCGCATGCATGATGGGCCAGCCTGCTATGCTAGGCGGGTAGCAACACTGGAGATGAATCTCACCATCGCCTAGTTTCTATAGTTTATGAACCGTCAGGAGCATCCTTCGCTCATAACATTGAAATGATGCCGGCAGTAGTTTTGACTTTCGGCCTCCAGCTTGTGTTGTGCAGTTCGTTTCAGTTTGATTTCAATTCACGCAAGTGGGCACAGAATAGATCCATTACGTGCGCGCTTCACCTCCACATACCGGCAGATATAGGAGGGAGAGCAAGAGGTGTATGTGCCCTATGCCATCCAATCAGTCCTCTTGCCAGTCCCGATTTCGCCCACCGACATTCCTTGGTCCGCCTCTGCCGCCCACCATCACTTCATCTGGGTCTGCCTCTGCCGCGCATCATTACTTCTTCCTGGCCCGCCTCTGCCGCCCGCCATCCCTCCTAGGTCTGCCTCTGCCGCTTATCACTTCTGGGTCCGCCTCCGCCGCCCACCATCACATCTCCTGGGCCCGCTTCTGCTGCCTTCCATCTTCATCTCCTGGGTCCGCTCCAGCGTTCGCACGGCTGACGTTTGAGTGCGCGAACCATGACGTGGTGGCGACACAAACAGCATCAACGCCGCTACGCGACGCCGATTTACGGCTCTCGAGAGCCTGTAGTCTGTGCCCAGTGCAGCGGGTTGACAGGCACTTATGTAACGCGCGCGGTTCTGCCCGCGTGGAGGAGAAACGGAATTATCTGATTTACTTTCAACCAGCCCACTTTTAGTGGCTGCCATAACACCTTGCTCCGCTGCACAAAACGCATGCTTTATTGAGAGAAACGACGATGCAAAGGATATCCGCCAGCAATGGTTCTTGCTAGATGCAGCATATTTGCGCTTTAATGTCGGGAGACGGTGCACCACCCTCTGATCATTCAGCGTCTGGACTGCGCGACGACCTTTTGATGGGTTTCCACCGCAGATGGGAGTTACACGGGCTAAAGGGTTCCTCGCAGTGCATAATGGTACAGACGGACGGTTTATGTTGGGGCATCTTGGGAATGTGAAGAGGAATTTCATTTGTCATTGATCGATGTCATGATGTCATGATGATGATGATGATGTCATGAACGTTATTGACGGCCTGAGTGATCGAGTGGCACATGCCTTCTGTGTCCAATGTCTCGGGAATCCACTGCTGTCACACCACGCACTTCGGCCATCACAGATGTTTGGATTACTCGCCCCTGTCTAACTTGGGCCTCCCCAAGCTCCTCTCCACGACAGGCATTCCAGGCTCATCCCAAAAGGCCTCCTCTCAGTTATCACAGTGGTTTGCTTCTCGCCATGAAAGGATCTCCATTTAGTCTGTCTAGGCCCTCCTATATTACTGCATTATGATCCAATTCATCACGACGAGGGCCTCTACCGAACCAGCGGTCTTATAAGCCAAGAAGTCTACAGCACAAAGTGGTGTCTCTTCTCAGCTATTAGAGGGCCTCCTGTGGGACATCAAACACCCTCACAATACTAGGACCTTCTATTGTTCATGACAACGCTTTCCTTTGGCAATTCATGGCAAGCCATTTCAGACGGAACAATTTGTATTCAGCCCGTCAAACAGCCCAAGGCTATAGCTACAGCGTTGGCCTGTTTCAGCGCTCTAGCTACAGCGTTAGTCTGCAACAGCCTGCTGTGTGTTAGCCTGTTAGCCTGTAGTTAGCATGTGATAAGAGTAAAAGTTGCACTGCTCCTGCTGCTTTGGGTTTGTTGGGACGAAAATTTATTGTGTGGAGTAATAATTTTAAGCTCTCTACAAAAGGGAACACCTTTTGTAAGGTCATCCGTAACAAACTACTCGCGAGACATACTTGCCAATGGCAGGCAAATTTCACACATGCCCGATGAGGCATTTAGGCTCCCCGCGCCCAATGACAGGTCGCCATTCTAGCACGGACGCTGGAATCGGGCTGACATGAGATGCACCACTGGCGCGTGACGTCGTAATGCGACTTGAGCCAGCGGCGCGCCGGGCCGCGCGGGACCGCCGGCGCGAACCGTGCCTGTCCCCGGCGCCTGTGACTCGTGACCGCTGCCGCTCGCGTGAGTCGCTGGTCTTGCGTGACGTCACATGGCGTAAGGCATGTGCTCTCAGGACCGGTGGGGAGCGTGATGTCTGGTGCGTGGTCCGTGGACCCTCCGGTGCGTGGTCCGTGGACCGTCCGGTCCGTGGTCTAAGCGTCCAGTTTGTGGTCTCCGAGCAGTTTGGTCCGTGATTCGTGAGTGGTCTGGTCCGTGGCCCGTGGACTCTCCGGTTCGTGATTCATGAACCGTCCGGCCCGTGGTCTGTGGGCCGTCCGGTCCGTGCGCTGTGGACCGTCCGGTTCGTGGTCTGTGGACCGGTGCGCGGTCTGTGAACCGTCAGTTCGGTCCGTCGTCTTTTGACCGTGTGGTCCAAGGCCTGTGAACTATCAGGTCTGCAGTCAGCTGACCATCCGATTAAGATCTCGGAGCCGCTTGCTACGTGGATGCCCATCATCAATCAATCAGTTGTAAATTTCGAAAACATCCATAACAT